TTATTTCTTATGATGTGTAATAGAAAGGAATATACTCTTTTTTTTTTTTTTTTTATAAAGTTCTGTTTTATTTTTGTGCAGGCTATACAAGTTGCTTGCATTTATGCACTTTATCACACCTGCACTCAATGCTATGGATTCAGATTACAAGTAGTTATGTTCACAAACAAAACTAGACACTCACTCTCGTGTATACATATACAAATTTACACTTGTACTCTCTCTCTCTTTCCCCTCTGCATGCATTCTTGCAAGAAAGAGAGTGAGTGAGGGTGGTCCCAGGAATTTCCAGAATGGAGGTTGCCGGATAAGATAAACAGTTGAATAATTTGCAGGCCAACAGGAAATCTGGGTAAAGTTTTAACTGATTTGGAGGCTTTCATCACCACATCCCATGAAAGAACTGCTGCTGCTGCACACAGTTGAATCACTGACTACTTGGACTCCTAGAATATTTTGTGTACAACACTCAAAATTGTGTTGCTGCTGATTGTCCATAGTCTTTGACACAGTTCAACTGTTAATGGGGTTTAACAGTTTGACAATAAAATTTTTTTTTTTTTTTTTTTGGTTTATGTGACAGCATAGTGTAAGTTTAAGGCAAAATGAATGATTGAAAAATTCTGGTATGCACCATTTTGTTTGTAATTTGAAGTACCTTCCATTTCATAAAATAGTCAAATGTTATAAAGATTTCAGAGCATTAGTATTAATGTTTTAGTGTGGAAATAAAAGACAAAAACTTTTGTAAATGTTTATACAAGAGAGGTATTGGACCTGTTAAATCAATAGATAATATTTTGTGGGTATAGTGAAGTACGATCTAATACAGTAATTTCTTTTAAATTTCCACCTTAATAATTTGAAACGACGAAGGTGTGACTTGTAGTTATCAACAATTAAAGGTAATTGTAATATTATTGTTTTGCTTTCCTGTTTTATTGTGCCTATATAAGGTAATTATGTTTTGTGACGAAACTGACAGCAGAGTTGTGCTGTTTGTAATTTTAGAGCCAGGCTTTTTTTTTTCCCAGGAAAGTTTAGAAAAAAGTATTGCTGTATGTATAAAATGAGCATATTGGATAAAACATGAACTCATACTATATTGTCAATGGCATATAATACTTCTGCATTATGGATCTGTATGTACAAAGTGATACCACAGTCTCATCAAGTGACCATTGATATTATAAGAAGAACCTACATGTTGAGTAATCTGTGTGATGTGCACATATAACCCCATTGCCAGTGCCTTCATGGTGAAGGGACGTGAATGAAGCATATGACAGTGACCTGTGTGAAAATATATGTGATATTAAGAGAGAATCAATAACCAGAGGACACTGCAAGAATATATTTAAATACAGGTCAAGGTTAAATCTGAAAAATAAAATCCTTTTTGCAATAAAGTTGTCAACTACTGGAACGGTTTACCACCATATGTTATCAGATCAGAGACAGTGGTTAAATTTGAAAGGAAGTTAGACTGGGCATGGAAGGACCAGGCACAGAAATATGATTATATAGCACCTATTCTATGTTGGATAACTACCTCATAGGTGGCGGGGCAAGGAGGCCAATTATCGTTTGGCCCACCCAAGAGGTAGAACTTTTTTTTTTTCTAAAGAGTGGAGCTTGATACTTTTAAGGTACTCCCATAACCACATAATATTTCAGCACATCAATATTCTTTACCGGGTATTTCTCGGCTTGGAGCATTTAGATAAAAAGATTCAGCTCCATGTCATGACACGTCACACCTAGTGGGACTGCAGATTTTTTCACTAACAAAATGTTGCAGATTATGCAACATTGGAGCTGAAATATCTAAAAATAATTGCAATTTAAATTTTGTTTTGCTGTTTAAAAATCATTCTAGTGAGAGAGTAGTCTGAAGTCTACATTCAATGTTAGTTTATTTTTTATCCTCTTTGCCACTGATCTGCTTATTACAAGCTTGGGCGGTCAGCCACATCTCTGTTATGTGCTGTTGGCAAGAACTGACTCCAGAATGTATACAGTATTACCCCGCCTAACGCGGTTTCACTTAACGCGTTTTATCATATACGCGGTGCCTCGCCAGAGCTGAACTTTCACTTAACGCGGAATTTTTCATCATATACGCGGGAAGCGGCGCGGGCACGATGCGCACAAGGTCGCCCAGTCATCAAAACATTACCGAGTTCTTCACCCGCCACCCACCACAGCCGGCCCAAGTCAGTGATAGTGATAATTATAGTGAGGATATGGACTTATATGGCCTTTGAGGGGTTTGACAAAGAGGCCCTGCAAGCCTCTGTGGTGGATAGTGATACAATTGATACAAGTGATACAGGTGAGGGCCAATAATCTGCCCTCTGCCTCGGAACCAACCCCCCATCCCCGTGTGCCCAGCCATCTTTTCTACTAATGCAAGTGTTAAAAAACCTAATATTATTGATATTTCTCTTAATTATTAATTGTGTGTGCATACCATCATAAAGTTAAGATAAAATTTTTACTACAACATAGTTGTGTGTCGTCAAAAAGTGGAGTTTGGGGGTCGGGCCAGTCTCTATTGGAATTAATCCCATATGTTCTGTTGTTCACTTAACACGGTTTTCACTTAACGCGGTACCCTGTGGGTTCAATTGACCGCGTTAAGCGGGGTACAACTGTACTTGCACCAGTGAGTGCTGAGTCTGGTCTTGAATGCGCTCACGCTCGGTGCCATCTTTTACTTTTACTTTTATCCTCTTCACCACTGACCAGCTGTGTGATATACTGTTGTTTGACTATAATAGTTCCTAGTGGAGCGGCATCTGCCAGCTCCAGGTATAAACTCTCGACTGAGTACTGCCCTCTGATAGACTTACAAACTTCATTTAGTCATCCCTTGCCTGTCAACTGTATAAGCTAGGCAGTTGCAGGTGTTCTAATTTCTCTGGGTAACTGAGGTGCTTTAGTTCAGGTACAAGTCTGGTGGCCCTCCTTTGGAAATTTTCAATAAATTGACAGTCTAGCATATCTCAGGTGGTAGCTGAGGTGCCTGCACTTCGGCACCTCAGCTACCCTGAGAGATTGGAGCGCCTGAACTTGCCTAGCTTATACCACAGACGGGCAAGGGGGGACCTAATTGAGGTGTATAAGCATCTCAAGGGGCACTACTCAGTCGAGTGTCCTTACTTGGAGATGGCGGACGCTCGCTCCGCAAGGGGTCACAGCTCAAGGTTGAAGAAGCCGCAAGTCCAGAAAACTGTGAGGGCAAACTTTTTCGGAGTGAGAGTTGTGAACTATTGGAACAATCTACCAGAGAGTGTTGTGACGGCACCGAGTGTGAGCTCTTTCAAGACCAGACTTGACCAACACTGGAGCAGGTTCAGGTACATTCAGGAGCCAGTGCATGCCCAGTACTTGCCAACAGTGCGTGACAGAGACGTGACCGATCGCCCAAGCAGCTAACGAGCCGATCAGTGGTGAAGAGGATAAAAGTAAAAGAGAGTAATCCAAACGTGGGAGGCACCTCACTCTTACTTTTACTTTTATCCTCTTCACCACTGATCGGCTCGTTAGCCGCTTGGGCGATGGGTCACGTCTCTGTCACGCACTGTTGGCAAGTACTAGTAATGTACTGGCTCTCTGTTACGCACTCTTGAATAAGTGTTACAAGATGGACTGTCTATATCTGAACTACCTTCTTATAAGACCTACTAGCTTAGTTGCTTGATACATCAGGTACTTTTCACATTCGATGTTCATTAATGCTGTTTCTCCATCTCGATGGGACATGTATATCCTCCTTACTGTTGGTATGACCTAGGTGCAGCATCCTCTTATTATTTACTGAATTGCTTTTGTTAAATGTAAGACTGCACAGATTATTAATACTGTACAGAATTCTTGTTTGTGATAGGAATAAACATAGGAGTACTGTATTAACATATTTTACTTCTGTAGTGAAACTGAAAATACGTTGTCACTTGCCATGCATGTTCGTCTTACAAATTACAATGAAATATTGAACACGTTAATAAACATGAATTAATTCTCTTATTGATGCATGGATATTGCCATTATCTCATAAACAGAACTCTCCCTCATATTATCAGATTTTTCCTTACAGGTTTACACTATAAATTATCATGAAATTATCCCAACTACTGTGGCGTACTGTATGTGGCCAGTTGTCAATTATCTTAGTATGGGCACACAAACGTACGTACATGTAGATATCTCACACTCAGGAATGAGGTAGAATAGAAACTCACAATGCGCTTTTTGTATATATATATATATATATATATATATATATATATATATATATATATATATATATATATTGTTGTATAGCGCAGTGCTTAGGAGTGACTAGGTGGAGAAGCTTGCTCAGAGGTCCCTGTTCGGGCTCCAAGGGAGTATTGCAGTGGATTTTTCCCCTACAGACGCTGTTTGTCGCTGAGTAGCCGATCCCGCGAATTCCCCAGTGTATGCCTCGTGGTCTAGGTCAACTAGCGCCGCCTTACATAACGGAGGTCAACTACTAAGCCACGCCTACCTGCCTACCTCCGCTATTTAAGACCTGACCTCGTGTGACCACCCTCTTTTCTACCTACACCAACCAGCCAGCTACATCTCCTCCTCCTCCGCCTGCCTGGCGGTCCTCGCTCCCGCCGGCGAGCATGGCGACCCACAAGCTGTCCTTCTCTGAGCATCCTCACCCCCAGCACCAAGCTGCATTGTACATCCAATACAACATGTATACAGAGAGCACATTGTGAGTTTCCTTTCTCCATCCCATCCTGAGTGAGAACCAAACATCCCATACCCCACACTACCACCTTTGGTTTTGACTCGCTCGTTCGACCCTTGTCGCTCCTCACACAAAAGTTTGGTTATGTGCCCCCAGATTGCTGAAGCCACAGGTTGAATAGTTTCTTTCAGAGCATTGTTTGTGAGTTTGTAAGTCAGTGCTGTACCATTATAATCAAGGAAAATGCTTTGGTTATGATTTAACCTGTGTGGCAGCACCTTCCAGTACAACAAGTTGGGTGAACCGTGGAAGAAACGTCCGGCAGCGCAGCAGGGGGTCCACGGCCGGTGCCAGTGCGTGTCAGTTCTTGAAATGGCGGGTATGGCGGCACTGAGGATCCAGCAGCTTCGTGCTGTTATTCAGCCAACTTCGTTTGCTAGTCGTATCGTTGGCTGTCCAAGAGCTAATACACCAAATTTTGTTCAAACAGCAAGAAGTATGTCGTCAGGTTAGTTGACATCACTGTCTTTATGTTTTGACTGTGTTAATGGTTGTAAACACCGGTGTGTAGGTACTACTGTGGTTTTCAAATATTTTATTGGGAATTCATCACATGTGCAATAAAATGCAATACGAGCAAGAACATGTCATAAGGTGTGAATAGTACATACTGTACTCTACTTGAACTCGGAGGATGACACAAAGTTCATGTGTGCGTTGGGTTATTTTAGGTGGGCTACCAAACATCTCTTATCAGATGACTTTGGCAGTGACTGAGTTATTATTTAAGCTTATCATAATATGCTCATACAAGTGGCTTGAGGGTAAAGGTGGAAGAGACGGGTAACAGTGGAAATGGTAAATTTTCACTTGTTGCCACTAAACGAAATCGAAGTTGAAACCCGTGTTTCCCAATGATTTTTGATGTGTTATGAACTAATTTGACCTTCATTTCCAGCCCAAATCAATAGTTTATGAGAGAAGCTGTTAAAATTCTAGTTTTGTACAAATATGGAATCTTGGATTTTTAACTCGTGCAATAGATATACTGTACAGGTATCTCCTCATTCAGACTAACTTTAATTCTGTGCAATTCCGTCATAAGTGAATACTAATAAACCTAATAGAACCTGAGGTAAAATTTTACTTTCACACAACCATGGAAGCAGAAGCATTTTATCTTTGCACTTGGTAGTTTAGACAGTTTCCCTTGCAATTGACCTAAAAATTATCTAAACTAATGTAACCTCATCTCATCTCTTTGGACCCCCCTCCGGTATATAAAAGTTATTTGCGAGGGAAATGTCATACACAAAGTGTTTTTGAATCGTCTAAACTATTGATTGTAAAGATGAAATCACCAAGATTCCACGGTTGTGTGAAAATAAATTTTACCCAAACTGACTTAACCAATCAAAGAAACCTACCTAACCTAGTGAAATTATTGCTTTGGTCATCCAGCAATTTTTAGGATTTAAATTTTTGGAATAGGTAGTTTGGACAATAATTACTTTTTTCTATGGCATTTCGGTCATTTTTAGTTATCCACCCGTCGCTTTTTTTTTCTTGCCAATTAGTACATCTCCTCGAGAAACGAAAGAATATACTTGAATTTAGTGGTGCATTCCAAAAATAAACACGATATTTGCGATTTATTAGTTGAAAAAATCATGAATTTTCAGTCGCAATTTGATGCGATGGTGACAAGCAGCATATCACTCGTTTCCTTAACCACCCATCACCTTTTTTCACATAAAATTTATTTATTTTTTGCTAGTTTTCTTGCAATTTTAGATGATTCTGACATTTATCTCTGGGGCAAATCACTTTCTATTTAGGTTAGGAAGTGGCCTGTTAGGTCAGGTAGCCTAACCTAACCCAAAAAAAAGTGATCTGCCCCAGAGATAAATGTCAGAATCATCTAAAATTGCAAGAAAACTAAAAAGAAAAAAAATATATATATATATACAGTATTTCTTAAAAAGGCGATGGGTAGATAACGAAAAATGACCTTTGTTTTGTTCACTTTAAGAGAAAATCGCAAAAAAAAAGAGAAGGAAAATCATCTTATTTTTCCAAGTTCTTGGAAGTTGAAATTGTTTTTCCGATGTTTTTAGACAGGTTTTGAATGAATCTGAGCTTCAATTCTACTGCAAATCACACCAAACCTAATCCAACCTAACCTAGGTAAAATTATCATTTTGGTTATCCAGCAATTTTAAGGACTTTTAAATTTTGAAAGACTTGGAGTTGGGTTCGTCCTCGTCATCCTCGAGTTTAGAGAATGATTTAGGAGTAATGAAGAGTAGGAATCTTAAACCAAGTCAATAATGTGTACTTGGGTTCACACAAAAGAGTGTTAGTTATAAGACTAGCGAGCTTATCCTAAAACTATATCTTGCACTCGAGACCTTACTGTTCAGTTCTGGTCACCGTACAACAGAATTGATGTAGAATCCCTAGAAAGAATTCAGAGGAAAATAACAAGACTTATCCCAGGCATTAGGAACCTTGAGTACAGAGACAGGTTAAAGCATCTTAATTTGCAGTCCCTCGAGAGATGTAGTGCGAGGTGCGATATGATAGAGGTGTATAAATGGAAGTCAGGGCTAAACAAAGGGGACATTACAAAGGTACTCAAACTATCCAACAAGGAGCGAACTCGTAGCAATGGTTTTAAATTAGACAAATTTAGATTTAGGCACGAGATAGGTAAACATTGGTTTGGAAATATAGTGGATGAGTGGAACAAGTTACCAGACATCATCATTAATGCAAATAAGCTGGATAGATTCAAACATAGGTTGGATGGATATTTGAGCAATAGGGGTTGGGTGTAAACGGGACTACCTAGTACAGTATGGAAGAATCTGACATGTTAACTTGCGTAGTTTTATATCTGGTACCAAAGAAAGCAATTTTCTTGAAGCAGCATTGTGTAATTTTACGTATTTTGGTGGACGTTAAAGTACGATCGGCTGTGGCACGGACACCTATTGCTTCTTCACTGTTAGTTTTATTTTTTAAAGTTTTAACAGGTATTATCCCACCCGGGCCCAGGTCAATGACGCACATCAGGGTCTGGGGGCGAAAAAAATAAAAATTAATAGTTAAAAGTTATAATAAAGCGATAATAATAAAGAACCATAAAAACTAATAATAAAGAAAAAAATAATAAAGAACCATAAAAAAATAAAAGATCAACAGCAAGAAACTGTATGTTTGTTGTGTTGTAAAAGTAAGAAACAATCGAGACCCTGCAATTGTGTGTAAATGAGGCAGAAAGACTGATGAGCAACCTGGGACTAGGTCACGATTTTCGTGATGCCACATGGCAGCCTGGTCTACCATTAGACAAAGCAAAAAGTAAATAATGTATAAGAAAGACATTTATCATTCCTAGCTCTATTTCTCTAACTTTTCATTTTACTTACCTGCTCCCACTGCAGTCTTCTCGATCCTCATGCTCACATGTTCCCTGAGCAGTTTAAAGACATCTTTTGAACTGCCCTTTCGAGAGAGCCAGCCTGGGTTGCCACCCCATCCTAGACAAATGTACAGGTGCGGACTTCCACGTAGAACACCCAGCCAGACGATCGGAGAGGTAGAATCGGCTGACAATCTGGTAACTGTGTGCGGGGATGGGAGGGAGAGGGGATGGGGGAGTACTTTAGTTCTGTGTTGCATAATATAATCATTTTATTTCGCGCACAAGAGTGATGGAAAAGTTGATTATGGTATAGGAATACTTATTTACAGAAGCATTACATTGTTTGATTTATTGGGGTGTAGTAGTTCTCTAATCTAAGGCTCCAAAGCCAGAGAAATGCATAACTTTTACCTCCCCACACTACTGCTACCTTTCCTCAGGAAAGGACAGTATGGGAAAACAGGTGCCAGTCAATGATTATGTCGACCAATTTCTTAGTTATAACTATTTTCCAAATCCAACATAACTTAAAGCTGATACACATTTTTAGGTGAGTAAACTGCTCTTATATGCCCTTTATAGTTCATGAGAGCATTAATAGCGTATAATGGAACCATATGCTGTTGTAAGTCACGTTTCGACCTAGCCTTGCACTTGGTAAACCAAAATGACCTCTTTACACTTATCGTTTTAATATGGTGATTCTAGTGGTATGGTGCTACGAAAGATACAGTACTGACAAGTATCTGTAGTTTGCCAATGGTGTGTAGGTGCGTAATGCTATCCTTAACAATGTTATGAAGTTACCTTATGGCTCTGGGCCATCTGTAACACACACACATTGCTTATCCTTTATTTTCACAAGTAATGAAATTAATACAGGTAATAATAATAACAATAATACAGTATTGTAATAATAATAATAATAATAATAAAGAAATACAAGAATGATAAACAGATTAAACGTGAGAAACACGACTTAGACCTATGAATTATTATTATTGTAATTATAATTATTACTAGCAGAATCGCGCTCTTTCGCTAGGCCACGGTAGGACGCCAGTTCCCACTCTGGAGCATCCAACATAGAACTGTCCACGAGAGAAGCAAGGAAACACCAGGTTTCGGTCTCACTGTTCAGTCCCCAAAACTACTTCTTCCATCAATAGTTCATTAACGGTGTATGCAAGTTCCACTACAACGGTACAGCAAAGTATATTTTTTTTAGCATTAAACTTATTATTTTATTGTCTAATCATCACTACATATAACACCACCCATCATCACTACATAAAACATCATCCATCATCACTACATATAACATCATCCATCATCACTACATATAACACCATCCATCATCACTACATATAACACCATCCATCATCACTACATATAACACCATCCATCATCACTACATATAACTCCATCCATCATCACTACAGATTGGTAAAGTAGTTTCCGAGATTCTCGTGTGGACACACAAACAAACAGACACACACAAACGGACATACTTCTTTGTTTTATATAGATAGATATTATATTTTAGCCCCTCAGGCCCCAATGTGGGTCAGTGACCTGTACCCTGGTGGTCTGATCCCTGAAAAAAAACCTAACCTAACCATTCTGAAATTGGAAAAATTCCAAAATCCATCTGGTCCCAAGGATTTTGGATAAGGATTGTCAACCTATAATGGACCTAACAAGGACCTAACCTGGACCATGTGGTGCATCTGCAGTTGTAGTGAGGTAGCTGCTTAATAGCCAGGCTTGGCGCCGACATCAGGTCACAAGAATGTCTAAAAGACCAGCTCCCACAGTACCAGATCTACAGTTAATCTATATGTTGACTCTGTTTCTTATGTTTTTGTATTGAAAGCTTTGTCAATCAAGTGTCCCACTCCCCGATTCCACCAAATGTAACTTATCATCTCTGTTCATTGTTTATTTTCAGCCTTTGGGCTGCCATGTTATCTAAATAAACTATTAATTATTATTATTAACACAACTCCACCTTGTTTTGGTAATGCTTGCAGATTCTTAGGGTACAATGCACTATACAATATTATTACCCTTGGTTGTTTTTGTAATAGTCCTTACACTTGATGAACCTATGTGAACATGTATGATCATATTGCTGATTAAATATCCATCTGTTTATCTGCTATACAGTAATTCAATTGAGTAAATATATACAGTGACTAATTTAATGGAATAACCGCTTTTGTTTTGTAATTTGGTTCAACAGACTACGTATTTGTTTTGATGCATGCTGTAGGTGGTGATGAATGATTAATCTGCCTGCAAAAGACACAAAATGACCTCTTCATCCCTGACACACTTTTGTGTTGGCTACTGTGGCAGCCGAGTTTTTATTTTTTTCTCGAAGCCATCGTAGCATTTGATGTATGCTAAGTTTGTTTACGGGCACCGAAAACTGTAATTGAATCTCCTATCCAGCCTTAATGGTGACTGAAGGGACAGAAGGTGACCATAAGTTGTTAGTGAATCTGGTCCATGGACAGGTTAACTTTTTAATCTTGTTTAATACAGTACTGTACCTCAATGATGATTCATGGTATAGACCAATTCTGAGGCTGTTTTAGATTATATGGTAGCTTGATGTCTTCACCTAGGTGGAATTTCAACACTGCAGGAGATCAAAGCTGCCATACTGTATTAACACTGTCATGACACTACAGAACTCACAATGTCAGTAGCTAGTAGTTATTGAGGTAGTGTTAGGCAGTGTTGTCATTAGAATTTTTTGGTAATGATTTCCATTTGTTTGGCAGCTCCCACTTATGAACACATTATGGTTGAGAAACGAGGAGAGGGTGGTAATGTTGGCTTGATCGTGCTGAACCGCCCCAGTGCTTTGAATGCTCTCTGTGACCCACTCATGAAGGAAGTTAAACAAGCATTGCTAGATTTGGAAGCAGACTCCTGTGTTGGCGCCATTGTTCTTACTGGAAGTGAAAAAGCCTTTGCTGCGGGTTAGTAAAATTACATATTTCATTTGTTTTTTTCCTATTGATCCATAGTATTTATATAATTTAGTTTCATTAGCCCTAACAGAACGAGTTACCTGAGGGGTCACAAAGGATGTTCTATGTTTGTTGGTTTGTCATATCCTTAACTTATCACTTGTCACACACAGACCACTGAAGGACTTTTCATCAAATAATAATTAATAAATCATTGTCTTTGTTTTTCAGGTGCTGATATCAAGGACATGCAGAACAAGCAATTTGTAGAATGTTATAACGGTAACTTCCTCAATGACTGGAATGTCTTGTCCATTGTCAAGAAGCCAGTCATAGCTGCAGTCAATGGTTATGCTCTTGGTGGAGGTTGTGAAATGGCTATGATGTGTGATATTATATTAGCAGGAGACAAAGCCAAGTAAGTATTTAATTAAAGGGTGATCTAATGTAAACAATTGACTCCTGTTCTTATCTCAGGATGTCTTTGGTTGTAGGTAATATCTTTTGTGCCCTTGTTTGTTTCAAATTACCAAAGATCATAAATATTAAAATCAGAATTTTTTAGGTTTAAAACTCTATTGTATTTTGAAATCTTGAATTCAAATTATGTTCTTGTTGAGAAATGAAACCGCAGTTAAGAATTTAAAATATACCTTATTTAGAATCCTTTATCGCATTTGATAATATAAGAGGTTTACATATTGTAGATCTTGACTACCACATATGCAGCGGGGTAGTAAAAGGGATGAAGGTCAAACGCACGCCACTAACACTCTTTACAGTGCTGCTACCTGTTGAGCCACTGTAGAAGATAAAGCACAGAAAAATAATAGCACTGTTTACTGTAACCCACAGTCCTCTTCAGTAGTGTGAAGCTAGTGATAAAAATATTAATGACAACCCTTGGAGGTTTTAAAAGCATGATAATTGAGGATGTCAGCTTGTTTGATGCCTCCAGTAATGACTGTATTCCTGAGCAAGCTACTTCACACCATCACCTCTTTCATTCCTTACATACAGTACAGTATTGCCTTTTGGATATCATGATGTACTTTCAGCTGCGTATATTTCTTTAGGACTTGTACATTCTACATCGATGGCCCACATTATCGATCAATACCTTTCTAATTATCTTATTATCTTTAATATGTACTTCATGAGTTGGTTGTGTTACATGTTTCACATTAATTCTTATAGGTTTGGTCAACCAGAAATTGTCCTCGGAACAATTCCAGGTGCAGGTGGTACTCAACGCCTCACTAAAGCTATTGGCAAGTCTCGTTCCATGCAGATGTGTCTGACGGGGGATATGATTACAGCACAACAAGCAAGTTCATGGGGTGAGCATCCATTCATATATCATATATTCATGAAGTTATGTTATAAGCTGAAAATTTCTTTTGCCTTTAAGTGAAATTGTTAATACTACAGGAGATGAGCTAGGCTTAGATTTTACCCATGTGAGAAATTAAACTAAGAAGGGATCTAAGAAAACTCGTGCAGATGCTTGTAGACAAAAGGGATGATTGAACACGGTAAGATGATGGGCTGCATTTAATTAGATCAAGATTACATCACCCACCCAGTTTGCGAAACATTTTTTTATATAATCCATGACATGCTGTGACTGTTCCTGGAGTTCTGACCCCCCCCCCCCCTTTCATCAGAAAATTCCAAAACCTTTTCTTCAATGCAGTAATTACTATTTACCTCGGAATATCTCCTAAAGTCGTCATCTTCAACGGAACTGTTCTGTTAATTGTTGCAGATCTTCGTTGGTGAGCTCTTCTGTATGGGATGCCAGGATGTCCTCAATATATTCTGATTCCAGCTCATCAAAGCCTGCCTGTCTATCCAAGCTGAGGATATTCCTATTCACAGCTGGGACTAAGTCCGTGAATCCTGTAAAACTGTTGACACATTCGGGGCACAGTTTACGCCACACACTTTCTGAAACCTCTTCCCATGCCTTGCCAATGTTGTCAATTGCATGAAGAATGTTGAAGCCGCTCCAATATTCTTGTATCGTTGGTTTATTTTCTCCGTCTGTAGCCTTGAGCAGCTGGGCCATGGTACGGCGTAAATAATACGCCTTGAATGCGGCTATGACTCCTTGGTCCATAGGCTGCATCAGTGCTGTCGTGTTGGGAGGCAGGAAGACAAATTTTACACTGTCATGCAAGTTGTTGAGATTGGGAGGATGAGCTGGAGCATTGTCAAGGATCAGAAGAATTTTGAAGTTAAGGTTCTCCTTGGCACAGTATTCCTTCAGTGCAGGGATGGCGTACACGTTCAACCACTGGCTAAATATGGCGCCGGTTATCCATGCCTTCTTATTAGCCTTGTAGATGACAGGAAGGTGATCCTTGGAGTAACCTTTCAGGGCCTGTGGGTTGGCAGCATGAGAAATCAGCATAGGCTTCAGCTAGAAGTCACCGGCAACGTTCGCGCCAAGCAGCAGCGTCGAGCGGTCTTTTGCAGCTTTAAAACCTGGCGCTCTTTTCTCCTCCTTGGAGATATAGGTCCTCTTCCAAAAGCGACCAGTCTCATCCACATTGAAGACTTGATTCGGTGAGTAGCCTCCTTGCTGGATAATCCGTTTTAATTCTGACGGGAATGTCTCGGCAACAACCGTATCTGAACTGGCAGCTTTACCAGTCATCTATATGTTGTGGAAATTATACGGACGCTTAAATCGTTGAAACCATCCTCGGCTGGCTGTGAAGGTCTCTTCCTTCGATCCTTCACCCACTTCTGCCTTTAAGTCGTCAAACAAGGATCTGGCCTTATGCTGGATAACCCTAAGGCTCACAGGGGCATTGTGTTGATTCTGGTCCTCCATCTACATTGCCAGCATCTTTTCCACCTTCTCTATCACAGTGCTTCTAGTACGAGTCGTCTTAGTAGCACTCGGAGAAGAACCACTTCCAGCACCAACCTTAATCTTGTCAGCGTTGGTCCGGATAGTACACGCCGTTGTGGGGGTTAGGCCAAGCACAGCGGCTATGTCCACAGCACATTCCGCTTTTTCAAATCTGGTTAATACATCCATTTTCGTAGCAAGGGTAATGGTCTTACATTGCCTCTTCACTACACTAGCATCAGTAACACTTGAATGGTGCTTGGAAGCCATTTCGAATGGTTATAGTACAGTTTTAGAGCAAAAGCACTTAAGCACACACGTAAGCACAGTCGTAACAGTGACTGGCTTGGCGCACTTGGGGACATTCTGCGAGTGAGGGCAGCGTGCCGAGCCGAGAGAGTATAGATTGGCCAGACAAGAGCGGGTGATGCGCCATAGAAAGTAGTCCGTGACAACACAAAACGACGTAGTATTGGATCACCGGGACGTTAAACGAATTTTGGGTCCCTAAAATTCAGCGACGTAGTACCGAAACAACGTTAAGCGAGGACTTACTGTAATTGTGAAAATATACACTACCATTCATAGTTTATAAACATCAAAGCTACAATTGTTGAAGTTGGCCAATTAACTGTCCATACATACCCATTATGTAAACAATTTGTAAAGCTTCTTGGTGGAGTTCATGTAGTTCCATCATGTGATAATGGAACATAACCCACATGATTGGTGGGGTAGACTTGTACTAGTATTCAACTAATTCTTGATTTCTTACAGGACTGGTAAGTTCAGTGCACCCCCCAGATCAAGTGGTAGATGAAGCTATCAAGCTTGGGCAGAAGATTAGTCAACATTCTAAACTGATTGTGGCCATGTGCAAGGAATCTGTCAACAATGGTGAGTTGAAAATTTATTGTTACCAATAACCTGTAAGGCCTTGACTTTTCTTTCACTGGGGCAATTATTGGAAACTGTTTTTGCAGTGTATTACTCTAGTACAGTACATTTAATATGATGCTTTATGCATAAATGGTAATAATTGTTCTTTTTTCACATTCTCATTACATCCCAAACACCTACGTAAGCAAATCATAGTCATCTGTAAGTTGAACATATCTTTCGTTTCCATATCCCATTTCATCCTCCAACTGCTAGAGTTGCAGGTAAAGTGTTGGATTTATACCCTCCATTAATCTGCCAGTTCACTGCCCATTTGATAACTTTTTACTGTTTACTTGATTTCTCTTGACCAAACATAGACTAGAGCACCAGTGTCCCCTCTGTGTCTCTTGAAAGTAAATTTTTAAGGGGTTCCCTTAATTTGTTTAAGTTAATTATTTTGTAATTTATTGTCTGCAAGGTTTCTCCCATATAAAGATAGAAATACTTATAAAATGTAGCTATTGGTGGGACTTACAAGCTTATGGCAATACTGTACAGATTATTTTTCTATTCAACAAAGCCTACAGTTGGAATTAACCTGCATTTGGTAGGTGGGTGAATGTTGGTTATCTCCCTTGTGGGAAAATGGAAGTGGGTCCTGTAGGCATGCCTGCCCATGGGGGACAATGTACAGTAGATACAGCATACTGTACCTGTATACTAAGCCTTCAGTACACAAGGAGGCAGCATGGTTGGTACTGCACTCGATTGCATTCATTTTCCCAGGTTGTAAACTTGGGTACCCAATTACAGCTGGGTGAATTGGGAGCACCTGGGTTGTAATGAGAATGACAGTAAACATGTCTGGCTATACTTGAGATGTGTGGCCTAAGTTTAACTGTCGAAAGAGATTTCAGGATCAGTCCCTCATTTTTCTAGATACTATCAATCAAGTATGTATTTTATATTTTATTAATAAATACCTTATACCCGTAATATGTTATGGCTTGCTATATAGCCAGCCCACATTTCAAAACTTAAATAAATTACCCATGGTGGTACAGTACAGTATAGGTGATTGAGGAAAATCTTTTAATTTACTATAAAAAAATTTTCTTCTGTATTTTTAGTACTACACTGTATACATGTCAAATTTCCTGTTCTTGCAGCATATGAGTTATCCCTGAGTGAAGGCCTGCACTTTGAAAAAAGGTTATTCCATTGCACCTTTTCCACTGTGAGTATAAGTTCTTAAAAAATTTAAATTATTGATCAAGGGGAAACTCCCTCTCTGTGGTATAGTGTTTTTTCCCAGCCGAGAAGAGATGCCCTGCCCCCTCCTCAAGAGTTACAGCTGATTGGCTGTTGCAAAACTGTCCGATTTTGTCCTGAAGTAATGATGTATTTCTAAAGTAGTTTATTCATAATCATTGGGATGACCGTTTCTGATGAGAAAGATATTTAGCTAAATTATATAAAGATACATACATTCATTATTTCAAACATGAGCACCTAGGAAATTTATCAGAAATCCTATGCATGAATTAACTGTTAAACTCTGGTAGCAAATTCATGCTTTTGGAGGATGCATTTAATATATACTTATTTTTACCCACAATAACTAACCTTTTAAAAGCTGAGAATCACATTAAAATATTACACGGCAGTCAGCAGAGGCGGGAAATACCACTGTGAACAGCTTCATATTTCCCGCCTCTGCTGACTGTTCAAGTGGCCAAGGTCCCCAGTCTGTCACACTCATCCACCAACTTTTAGAGGCCTTGTAATATTTCATTGTGATTCTGATCTTTTAAAATGTTAGATTTTGTGGGTAAAAATAAGTATACAGGTACAGTGGGGTATGCTATAACGAATCTAATTGGTTCTAGAACCTTGTTCATTATAGCATTCGTTCGTTATAGGATTAATCCGTTCCAGGCCACCAAATACAACCACTTAACACTGAAAAATATAATATAAAATTGTAAAAAAGTGCATAAATATGCATCTAAACCCCTGAAATAACCAATATCATTAATACTTGTAATAAGAAACAATAAATTAGTAAAAAAAAAAAAAAAAAAATTTTTTTTAAATAATGTTCGTTGTAGGAGTTTCGTTCGTTATAGTATTCTCAATTTTATAGGTAAAACCGTTCGTTATATGAATATTCATAGTAGGATCCGTTCGTTATAGCATACCCCACTGTATATTAAATGCATCCTCTGAAAGCGTGAATTTGCTACCAGAGTTTAACAGTATGTACAGAATGGTGCATGCAGGTAGTTATGTACAGAATGGTGCATGCTGGTAGTTATGTACAGTATGGTGCATGCTAGTAGTTATGTACAGAATGGTGCATGCTGGTAGTTATGTACAGAATGGCTTGCTGGTAGTTATGTACTGGTAGTTATGTACAGAATGGTGCTTGCTGGTAGTTATGTACAGAATGGTGCTTGCTGGTAGTTATGTACAGAATGGTGCTTGCTGGTAGTTATGTACAGAATGGTGCTGCTGTAGTGTATGGTGCATGCAGGTAGTTACAGTGGTAGTTATGTACAGAATGGTGGTAGTTATGTACAGTATGGTGCATGCAGGTAGTTATGTACAGAATGGTGCATGCTGGTAGTTATGTACAGAATGGTGCTGCTGGTAGTTATGTACAGAATGGCATGCTGGTAGTTATGTACAGTATGGTGCTGGTGGTTATGTACAGTATGGTGCATGCTGGTAGTTATGTACAGAATGGTGCTTGCTGGTAGTTATGTACAGAATGGTGCTTGCTGGTAGTTATGTACAGAATGGTGCATGCTGGTAGTTATGTACAGAATGGTGCATGCTGGTAGTTATGTACAGAATGGTGCATGCTGGTAGTTATGTACAGAATGGTGCTTGCTGGTAGTTATGTACAGAATGGTGCTTGCTGGTAGTTATGTACAGAATGGTGCTTGCTGGTAGTTATGTACAGAATGGTGCTTGCTGGTAGTTATGTACAGAATGGTGCATGCTGGTAGTTATGTACAGAATGGTGCATGCTGGTAGTTATGTACAGAATGGTGCATGCTGGTAGTTATGTACAGAATGGTGCTTGCTGGTAGTTATGTACAGAATGGTGCATGCTGGTAGTTATGTACAGAATGGTGCATGCTGGTAGTTATGTACAGAATGGTGCATGCTGGTAGTTATGTACAGAATGGTGCTTGCTGGTAGTTATGTACAGAATGGTGCTTGCTGGTAGTTATGTACAGTATGGTGCATGCTGGTAGTTATGTACAGAATGGTGCATGCTGGTAGTTATGTACAGAATGGTGCATGCTGGTAGTTATGTACAGAATGGTGCATGCTGGTAGTTATGTACAGAATGGTGCATGCTGGTAGTTATGTACAGTATGGTGCATGCTGGTAGTTATGTACAGTATGGTGCATGCTGGTAGTTATGTACAGTATGGTGCATGCTGGTGGAGAAAAAGGGGGAAGGTCTCTTTCTCTTCTTGGATGAGAGAAATAAAGCCTCACTCTCTTCCTTCTCTTGAAGAGCTAAAAAGTGTAGTAGTTTCATTGGTTCAATAAAGTGACAAATGGCTGATCCACAGAATGCAACCATTTTTATCATGATACAAATTTTTAGTTTGGGACATTTATTCTCGTAATATTTGATATTCTTCTTCAGAACAAGATATTTTATAATAATTTCAGAATGATCGCAGTGAGGGCATGACAGCATTTATTGAGAAAAGGAAACCTAATTTCACTGATAGCTGAAGTACTTTACTGTCAAGATAGTGTACACTTCTCCTAGAGGTCAGTTTTATATTTTTACCTGTTACCACCCTTGCCCCCATACTCTGTTTCCCTTTATATTCTGCTGATGAAGGGACAGTATGGTTTAGCTTTTTCCTTCCAGCATCCCATCTCACTGTTTTTTGTTTGATATATAATTGGAGTTCTATACAGTATATATACCTGTATTTATTTTCAAACTCGAGTGAATTAAAATTTATAGCCATATTTTGTCATTGATTTTATGGGCAAAATTCACTTTAACCCATACAAAATACTATTATTTCCTACATATGTTTACAGGGTACTGTATATGATAGATTTATTTTGTGCCATTCAATTTATCATCGGGAAGGTGGAGAGGGGGTTATGTTGTAGTTTTGGTTTCAAGGGATGCAAAGCTAATGAACTCAGATGCTGTATAGAGCAACAACCACCAGTGGTTACCAAGACATTTTATTGAACTTACGTCAAAGGATGACCTGTATTGTGTGAATAGGGATTCCTTGATCCGAAATTTCCTGCAGTGGATTACCCAAATTCAGAACATTGGCTTGAACCCTGGATAATAAGAAAACTACATGTTGCCAATCATATCACCGTTTATTCACTAACTTAAATTGAATTGGAAGATTTAGGTTTCAAAAGTCAACATTCTTCAGAAGTGCATGGACCACCATGACTCACCACAGCACACCTACCCAAAGTTTATGCTAAAGTATATTCATCGAGTCTTACGAAATCTTCACACTAATACTCAAGCAAAAATAGCTATTCCTGAAATAGGGCTAAATCTAATGAGCAAATTTTCATCTGTACGGGTTTGGTATCCAGTGGGTCATCACAATTTGATAATTGTACTGTATTAAAATTGTACAACAAAAATAAATGAGTTTGGGTTGTCTACTAATTTGCATTGTTTTTCCAGGTCAAGAAGATAATGTTTGGCTCCAGTAGTCTGCTTGGATTTTGAGCTCCTAGAATATATCAATCAGTGCAGTCAAGTCTACATTTAAATAAATATAAACTAAAAACAGTTCCTCTAATTTTGAGAGCAGGAAAGGCAAAATCTATTAACTTACTGAAGTTGGGGACACTGCTTAATGGGGCCATTGTAGTTAGGAGTGCAATAAAATGACTACCTACTCATTTAAAATACTTTCACTTTGTAATGTATAAATATTCCCCATAGGCATCATCATCCATTGGCACAAAGTTTCATTGTTGAAAATGGTGTAAAGGAAGATAACAAATTCCAGAATGGTAAGATTGAAATCACCATTGTTTTTGAAGAACAGAAAATTGAGTTGTGAATTGGGAATGACGATAAATTAATGGTAGTGATAATAAACTTCTATGTGGTGGTTACATAAACTCTTAGCAGCTGTAAGGTCATATATACAGGGTGATTCATCAAAGATTACATTAAATTGGAGGATGAAATCCTTGGATAATTCTAAACCACAATGTCAGATTCTGTGTATGCCCACGTGTTCGTGACAGGTGCGAGCAAATTAAACATAGTCCAGGCTGAAATTTGGTAGGAAGATGCGAGTAGCCTATTAGATAGTTGTACTGTATACTATCTTTTGTCCCTCCACAAGGGGTGTAGGGCTGACCACGACCACCCACCTGTAGATCAGGTTCATTTCCAGTTTTGAATACTGTACAGTACAGAGTTGAAATTTGGTAAGTAGGAGCAAATGGCCTAACCTTACGGGATGGTTATGCATTATCTCTTGCCCCTCCACCCGAGCCAAGCCAGATTAGAATTACAGTAAACCCTTGATAACTTGTTATATATGGGCCTCTAACCATTTCCAAATTATCAAGGCACTTTCCTTCTGATCTTTTGTCTTGTCCCAATACCCAACATTTGGCCAAAATAACCTACCATAATGAGAACGTACAAAAATTAATGCTTGCTAACACTGCAGGTGAAGGATGAAGATAATTTAAGCTTATGATGCCAGTACAGTATAAACAGTACAATTCTGTGTTCTTAGCTCTTGCACACCAGTGAATGTCTGGGAGATGTTCATGGAACGAATGTGAGAGAGTAGGATGCTAGAGTTAGCACCAAGAGAGGCTATTTTTCCAACTCATAATTTCTGGTAGACGTATGTAATTTTTTTTTTTTTTTTTACTATGACATGCACACACAATCTTTCATAAGATTTGTGCCCCCCAAAATATTAATAATTATTAGGTCAAAAACAAAGGGATTAAACATTCTTACGTAAGCTGGAGTCATCACTCGGAGCAGGGCTTTCCCTCATCCCATGTAGGTCACAGGTGTTACTCCATTCTGAGATCGTGTCGTCATGTCTCGGAATATTGTGTTATATAAAAAATAATTTACACTTGAATATTTTATTGCCATTCTGAGTTATATCAAATTATAAATCATCAAGGGATTACTGTAATTGATTTTAAAAGGATATTGTTTGTTAGTCTGAGGGCTTATATGTGTACTGTACATATAATGTATACAGTATATATGTTGGGCTCAAAGACCGGAAACGACCACTACACGTGGTTAGTTTTCGGTCTTTGAGCCCAACATATACACACATGCACGTTTGAACCTTCAGTTTTGAACAATAATCCACTAAAATCAATTAAAGATTCTAAATGAACATTCAGTTGAAATACTGAATTGTGCACCAGGACTAGAGTAGCAGTTTCCTAGCTCTTGAAAAATTAAAAGATATTAGGTATTTATTGATATCAATCAGTTCATGGATATAATCACACATTCACCCTCACTTATGTAACTGGGTGAAATGGTACTTGGCTCCAAGAAAATATCAAGTGGTACAAGAGATATAAATGGCTGGGAACCCCTGCTCTACATTATTTAAACAATGCAATTATCCAAAATCCTGTTTTTGAGGTATCCATCTACAATTCTATTTTTGAGAAACCATAGGTAACAATAGTAATGTGATACTTTATGGAAATTAAATATGGAATGCTTAGTTTACTTAGTAGTATTTTACTATACAAGTTGCAAACTTTTAAAATGTGCTCGAAATTGACTATCTTTACATATAATATATATTGTTACACTAGTGATTAAGAAACTGTGAAATGATATTATACAGGGTATCTAAAAATTATCTTACCCATTTTAAAGTTTGATAAACTTAAATATCTGATAGAACACAGTGCAAAAGTGGAAGTCTACCAAGACAAAGAAACACTTATGAGTTTTTCACATAGAATACAAGTACTGCAGTGTGTTCTATGACATTTTAAATGGGTTACATAATTTATGGACACTTTATACTTTATTTTTTTTACATATGGGGGATTTCTCAAGTGACTCTATTTGGTGCAAAAGATTGGCAACATTGAATCTAAGTTGGTGAAATCTGGAGAGAGGGACTTGGAAAGTATATGAGGATCCATCACTGGTTTCCAACTTCAACATCACCACAGGCTCCAGAACACGGGACAACCAGCTTTAAACAAATAAGGTTATCAGTTTCTTCCCCTTAATACTAAACTCAATGCTTGAACTTAGTCTAATTACTGTATCTTGCTATACGTATGTTAAATCCAATCACATAGCTCTACCCATAAAATAACCTCTCACAACATTGTGGATGGTGGTGTATACTTTGTGGAGATCTTATTTCTTCAATGAGGGAAACCTGTGTAAAAATCTGTTGAAGGACTTTCCTAAAATATTGCACTAAAAAACCAGGATCAATGGCCTCAGGTCAGACCAAACATATCGTATGCAGTTATTTTTGTAAACTATACTGTACATTGATCTATGCACTAGATTTACATTTTTCTCACTGCTGGAAGCTCCTGGCCTGAAACTAAATCAATAACTGAATACTGTAATAGTCATTCACAAACACCTGTGCAAAACAATCCTACATATTTACCAAGGACTGCATGGTCACAAAACCCCTATAATTTTTTTTATTTCACAATGAAAATAACATTTGCACAAGAAGTTAAGAGCAGAACATTACGCAGTTGAGAGGATGACAGATCTCGAGGGCTTGAACACTTGTAACCAATCGATAAATAAGCACATCAGAGAGAGCATTGCTTGGTCACAAGCAGGCCTTAGGAATTTAGTCTTGACACGTTTCAACCATAGAGGAAGACCGTTTAGAGTAAAATTTCCTACACCGGTTTCCTTTATTACCTTACTCCCAAACTGTAGTCAAGTAAGATTACAGTTTGGAAGTACAAGTAATGTATGATTCAACAAAAGGAAGAAGGCTGCACAATCACGCATTATTTTTATATTACAGTAAGATCCCTCTAAGTCGGACAAGCTCTGGCTTATAGGGGTTGTGTAAGGTGGTAGAGAAAAGAAGTCCGTTCCCACACTTTTGTTATCGTGACCATTGTTCTACTGTCCACATTTTTGTATTTAGTGCTTCCCCGGTGTATTATTATGGCCTAAAAAGCAAGTAAAGGGAAAACTGGACCACTGGAAGAAAGGGAATGGTGCTCAGAACTCTACCAATTGAAGAAAAACTAAGATATGACAGAAGTGATGCTGGGTTCTCCATGAACATTATCTGTGAGGAGTTAGGGCTGAAGTGTAGTACTTTTTATGACAATATACCATATGGATTTAAGCGCATGCTAGATACATGTATAACTAAACACAAGTGTAACTAAATATAATTGTAATTAAATATAATGTACGGGCATCCCCCGGTTTACAGAATTTCGCCCTTACGGAATTTACAAATTTAGACCTTAATTTTGAGTTACAGAAAACAAATTCGCCCAAGGAATAAAAAAAAAATTATTTTTAAACAAATTTTTTACAAAAATAGTAAAAAATGTGTGTGCATCTGTGGTGGCCACAAGGTAGTTGGAAGGCCGCATTCACCACAACAATGGAGCTGCTCACTTATAATTCTTTCCCTAGCTTGTTTTTAGTTATGCATCTGTGTTTAGGACTTTGCCCTAATGGAATTTTGGTTAAAATTTGTAAAAGAAAAAAATTGCTATACAGAAAAAAAAAATTCACCAAAATTATAAACTTTATTTTGTGTGGATTCTGGCCCAGCTGGTAGCAGTCACAACAACAATGGCACTACTCAGTTTGGATTCTTTCCCCAATTTGTGTTCAGTTATGTGTGTGTTACTGTGTACCCTTGTTCAATATGAGTGGGAAAAGACCACCAAGTTCAAGTGAAAAAAGATTCCATAAATGAAATGCATTAGACTTTAACCCCTGGGCTAGGGTGCCACACAGGGTAAATCGAGGAAAATCAACTTTAACAAAAATAATTTTTAAATGATAAAACAAACTAAAAGAACTAAGAAAAACTTGTACAGGTTGTACCTCTCTAGTTCGGCAACCTCGGGACCTGACCGGTGCCAGACCACGGAAATTCACCCTCGAAACACCCTACATTAAGCAGAAAAACATAAGATCGGAAATAAATAAACAAGAAAAAGTAATACTGTGAAAATACTATTTCATTTACCTTTAATGCTACCATAATTATTCTTCCAAAGTGAAGTGATGGCACTGTAACTAAAATTACATTTGAGGTACATCAGGGATGTTGGCTATTGGGCAAACTAAAATCGTTCCGGACCACAGAATGCCGGACTAGAGAGGTACAACCTGTATTGACCCTCTAGAAACTAACCAGGGGCCGCAGTGGCGAGGGAGATAAGGGGACAGGGTTGTTTTGACGGCTAGCACTCCTGGTCACTACACACTTAGCGGCCATATTTTCCTTGCCTTTGTGACCGGGATGGCCAGTAATGCATATGTTTACTGATCATAATACAATAGTACTTGTTTTCTATAAATAATTCATTTAGAATATTTTATTTGCATTATTTTTCATAAAAAAGTGCTCGGCAACACACACACAGTGTCTTTGTTTGGTAGGGCGAATAATGCATATAAATAATTATCGGAATAATAATTCCACAAATAATACAATTATAACAATCATAGCATTATTTTCCAGTAATACTACACTACAATACAACTACATTACTTTTAGCAATATTACTTTGATACAACATGATAAAATGGACAAACAATGAAAATGAAACAATCAAAAGTCGGTACTTACATTCAGGAAGCTTGTGTGTGGCGTGACAATGCCGTGACACGCAAATACTGTAGTCAATGGCACCTGATAACCCGTGCTGGGCAATCAAACAATGCCGCAAGTTCCAGAACATCAACCGGAGTGCCCTAGATGGACGTTCCGGAACATCAACCGAGGCGTAGGGGTTAAATTACATGTTTTAAGGAGGTAACTCCCAAAAACTCTGATCTCCCAACCTCACCTCGCCACCACCTGCAGCACTCAAAGTTTCTGGTAAGTAAAATTTGAGTGTTTTGTTCATTTGTTATCATGTAGCATCATGAATGACTCCCTGTATGTGGGTAAAACCAAAGTCTAAATTTACCAAGTCTACCCACACACACACGGGAAAAGCTTATTATTTGACGTCGTTGGCCGAGGTGGATATTCTTGCCATATATCCTGATTTCCTCATCCCTTAGCACACTACCTTTCAGTTAGCCACTTGAACTTCTCATGTAATTTTTATATTCCTATTCTCATTAAAAATTTAATATTATTAACAATCCTCATCTTCCCCTATTATTATTTATACTCTTATAATTTGGCTGCCAGTATCAGTGTAATAAGTACAGTAATCATAAGCATATAGGCTAGCTATTCAGGGGGGGGGGAGGGGCAGAAGGAATACAAATATTAAATAAAATAGTTAAAGAAAATAATAAAAATTGTTTGATTATAATTATAATTTTCTCACTCTCCGCAGGCTATTACAGTAAATACAAGTATATATGTGTAGAGGTTTTCAATTTATCAACGTGGCCACTGAAATATTACAGATGACAAGGCTATATAATAACAGTTTCAAGCAACATATGGGTACTTGTCTCTCTGCATCCGGTCTCCTGGCCGAAAGTTAGACTTTAGCGAACTTAAATTTAAACCTGTCAATGGTTCTTAAGTATTGCCTTCCTCCTGTTGCACCCTATATTTGCTGCATGCACAATAAAATTCACTCTTTTTCATCCTTTGGAAATCGATGAAATCTCAAACTTTTATCGTGTAGTCTGTAATTTGATATGTATCCAAATATGAAGCATTAATCACGCATTGTCATAGACCTTTGCACCACGATGGCCAGCTGGTAACTGAGGTCCCACCTCGGATTACACCCTGGGCTACCAGCCAGATGGCTTCATGCGTGGTGAAGGATGAATTTTTTACTCGAAGTTGTTTGACTTGGTATAATTAGATTTTGGTCAAAACCATCTGATTTCATACATACAGGTATATGTGCTTATGTCACTGTTTTGGGCTTCAAAACTTTTCCGTTGGAATGCATCTCAACTTTTATAATGGAAGTAGTATATGGAAAAAATGGTTTCGTGTTTCGTAAAGATTTTTCGGAACCTAACCATTCCGTAAGCCAGGGGATGCTTGTAATTAAATATAAGTGTGTGTAAGCAGCTCTCCATCCTCCACCTCAAGATTGATCTACTACAATAAAAATAAGTGCATTTTAAATGTATACTGTTAACTTTAATATTTTTGAGGGAAGGGATTTTTCAGCAAAATGATTAAAAGCACCTAAGGATAGGTTACACATAAGTCAGAATTCTAGATAAGTCGGACAGCCTCGACCCCCATATAGTCTGACTTAGGGAGGTTTTACTGTAGTTGACCAAAAGGAAATTCTAATATATATTTTGTATAATGTTACTAACCTGGTTGAAATTGTGACCTCCACCCTCCAATTAAGATTTGTCATGACTGGGAGCGCAGGAGTGTTAGAAACAAGCTGGTTGTCAATATCCAATCGGGCAGGACCAAAAACTACCTTGCAAACATCTGAAGCAAATTCTTCTGGTAGTCTGGAATGCAAATTTCATTTAAGCACCTCACAGTTCTTTAAAAGCTTTTAACAGTAATACTGTACAGGTAGGGGTGCATAGTTATCCTCTTAATCATTTGGTAACTCATTCAGCATTTAGTAGATCACTCGCATCTTTAAGAACACTGGCTACAGATACTTTGTATGTACAGGCTCCTGAATGTACTGTATTTGGACTTGCACCAATGATGTTTTACCTCAACCCTTTAAATGTGACTACAATAAAATCTAGAAATCACTGTGCAAAAATAAGAGAAACAATCTTAAATTTTATGCAGAATTATGAAAATTAAAAAAAAATAAATCTTTATCCTTTGCTTTTTTTCTGGTAGAGTGTTTAAGTGCAGACTGAGAGGGCAGAGTAACTAGGGGTAGAAAGGCTGACTGCCATTAACAGCAACAAATGTGTGTCTTCCATGGTGACCGAAAGACAACCGAGAGCCCTATTAGTCCGGCAGCCAAACCCTGATTTTTTATAGAACCTGGAAGGTAGTGTCCACATAATTTTTATCGTGTTTTTAGCATCTTCTGAGTGTCTGGAATCAAAATCCAGATGATGCCACCTTAGCATCCTTGAGGAATTTGAGAAAGTCAAGATGGTGGTCATTTTAGTCGCCAGAGCAGAAAGTTGGCATTTTCAATAAAAAAATGGACCTTTTTAGATTTTTGTGCATGGGTGGTACCAGAGGAGGTTATAGCCCCCTCGTTCAGGAGACCCAGTCCCCTCACTGGAGAAATTCAACAAAATTGCCAAGAAAGTCTCGGGTGTCACTTATGATGACTGTAATTACAGTATAATTATTTAGCATAAATAAATTACTAATTCTCAGTCTTTTGTTACAGTCTGTTCATGAATACAATATCAAAAAGGATATGCAAATACCTGTACTGTACAGTATTTATGTACAAATTTGAATAAATATAAAAACTATTACAAAGTTATTGAGAGACACCTACAGTATATGCACAAGTTAAAAGTCAAATTCATTTGAATGGGTGACTGACGACTTTCTCAGTCTGCCTGGTGGCTGGCGCCCAGTATAAATGTAGTTTTGCTAATGACAAAAAAGGCTCTGCATAAGAGGAAGAATTGTCGGTATGAGATAATCTGCTATTTCTATGGCTGGTATAACTAGAGAACTTGGAATTTCCAAGTCCACAGTTTGATTTTGGTGCAGGGAATGGGAAAAGTTGGGAATCTTCAAGACCAACTAAGGTGTGGCAGGTCCTGGAAAATTACTCGGAATGATGACAGATGACTCCTGGAGGTAGACATTACCCAATTACAAATGCAGTTGCCTTGAGAGACCAATTGCAACTGGATGTTTCACCTGGAACAATTCAAAACAGGTTGCAAGAAGCAGGGGTTCACCATCGGACTCCAGCAAAAACAGAAAAATTAGAAGACCTTCATCGACAGACAATTCTTGAATTGCACAACAACATGAGAATGGGGTTCTTGATTACTGGGCCCAACTTATCTTCATGGAGGAAAAAAGCATTTGTCTACCACCCATGGTCATCACTGTTGGTGACCAAATAACACACGAGGTGAATACCAAAACACTGTGTAAACAGTATTCTTATATGACATGCAAATACTGTATATATGCCTAAGAAAATAAACTGTTCCAGGTGTGTGTATACTTTCTGCACCCTGTGCTTTAACATTTGTTGGTCCTGTTTTAAGATTACTCAAATTACAGTACAGTGGTCCCTCGGTTAACGAATGGTTCAATTAACAAAATTTCGGTTAACGAATTAGCTCCCATAAGGATTTTCAGTTCGATTAACGAATAAAACTTCGATTATCGAAATCCTTACGACAAACACGTTTTGTTGTGCGCATCAGCTGATCATCCAGTCCGCCAATACAGTAATCAGTTATATGTTTACATTCGTTTCCAGTGGAGTAAATATCAAGGAAGTTGGTCTTTTGAATATTTCTGCATTTATTATATTAAAATTATTGGTTTTATGCCGGGGCGCTCTTGCTGAACACAATTGCTCAAGGTATTGGATATTTGGACCCATATTCTGGAACGGGGTGGTAATATCGACAATATTTACCTAGATTTTGCCAAGGCTTTCGACAGTGTACCCCACGAAAGGCTGAAAATCAAACTGGAAGGGTACGGAATTCGGGGAAATGTCCTAGCGTGGATAGAAGACTTTCTACATGACCGCAAGCAGTGTGTGGTGATTAATGGCACGAAATCGTCATCTGTACCTGTAACAAGTGGGGTACCACAGGGCAGTGTATTGGGCCCGCTGTTGTTTGTTTGTTTCATAAATGACATGCCTGACGTTGTACACTCCTCCATACAAATGTTTGCCGATGATGGCAAGTTATTTCGGGAAATTAAGAACCAAGCGGACTATGAAGAGCTGCAGAAGGACCTCTGTGGGCTCCAGGAATGGTCGAAGAAATGGCTGCTGAGATTCAATGTCACGAAGTGTAAGAGGATGCACCTGGGGCGTACCAACGGTAAGGAGGCGTATCATATGTCCCAACGGGATGAAGAAAATGCACTAGTTGAGACTGTGTGTGAGAAGGACCTAGGTGTGTATGTTGACAATGAGCTGAAGTTCTCGGGCCATTGTGAGAAGAAGGTAAATCAGGCAAATAAATTATTGGGTCTTATAAGAAGGTCGTTCAGATATCTAGACGGTCCGTCCCTCGTGACGATCTTCAGGAGTGAAGTGCTTCCCCATCTGGAGTACTGTCACCCCATCTGGTCCCCGAGATATGCTAGGGACTGTCAGTTGGTTGAAAATGTTCAAAGGAGGGCCACCAGACTGGTGCCTGCACTTCGGCACCTCAGCTACCCTGAGAGTTTGGAGCGCCTGAACTTGCCTAACTTATACTACAGACGGGCAAGGTTGGACCTAGTTGATGTGTATAAGCATCTCAGGGGGCACTACTCAGTTGAGTGTCCTTACTTGGAGCTGGCGGACGCTCGCCCCACAAGGGGTCACAGCTCAAGATGGAAGAAGCCGCAAGTCCAGAAAACCGTGAGGGCAAACTTTTTCAGAGTGAGGGTTGTAAACTCTTGGAACAATCTACCAGAGAGTGTTGTGACGGCACCGAGTGTGAGCTCTTTCAAGAGAAGACTTGACCAACACTGGAGCGGGTTCAGGTACATTCAAGAGCCGGTGCATGCCCAGTATTTGCCAACAGTGCGTGACAGAGACGTGACCGATCGCCCGGGCGGCTAGCGAGCCGATCTTTTGGTGAAGAATATAAATGAAAAGAGACGTGACCGATCGCCCAAGCGGCTAACAAGCCGATCAGTGGCGAAGAGGATAAAAGTAAAAGAAATTTAGTTAACACACTATATTGCTAATATATACAGTACGGGGAACAGTTTTTGTGTGCCAATCAGCTGATTGAATCACCCAACAACGCTTCTCAGTTTAACTTTGTTTACAGTGGAGTGAACATCCAGTTTGTTGGTCTCTTGAATATTTTCGCATTTTTACATTAAAATTATTGGTCATTCTGAAATTTAGTTAACATATTAATAATATACAGTGCAGAAAGTATTATGAAACATGAAGAAGGCATTAGAACCAATGCACTCTGTAAAGAATATGGCACGTCATCATTGATTGCCTCTACAATCAGCTGTATGATATGTAAACAAAGCTGCCAGGAATACGACATACACACCTCAAAGTAAGTTAAAATACAGTATTCTGTTGTTTTTTATTGATTATTGTACAGTATACTGTACAGTACAGTACTGTATTTAGTGTATATATAATGTTTTGTTAATTCTATTACCGGTATACAGTACTTTGTATGTATACTTTTTCTGCGAGTTAAAATAATAGATTCAGTTACCGAAATTTTCAGTTAACGAACGACTCTGTGGAATGAATTGTGTTCGTTAACCGAGGGACCACTATAATTACAAAAGCTCAACATTCTGTGCTTAATATCTAGACTTAATTGTTTATATTTTGTAATAAATACCAATATCTAAGTTATGTGTACTGTATATGTAATGACAATACTTTCTAGGTCAGTGGTTCCCAACTGGGTGTCCATAGGAATTCTATTTATTTTTTATTTTACTGAAATTTGGAAAATGCATGATGGTATGAAATTCATATTATATATCCTTGCTCTTTTACACATCCATAAGGTGGTTGTCTGGGGGGAAATTCTTGTCCTGCTTCTTCACTCTTTGTCAGGAAATACAAATACTTCTTGAAGTACAAAACCCCGAGGTCTGTAGGAACAAACTTTGGACTTTTTCCCCTAAAACACCTCTACAATAAAAAACCCATAAAACCTGAAGTATGCTCACCCAAAATTTGTAAGATCAGCCAAAAGAATATCTTGACGAGTTGTGACAGTATTAACTCTCAATGCAGCCCGGAGTAAGGACACAATTCCTGCATATTGGACGCAAGTCATCTGTAAGGAAAAATTTAATGTAACCGCTAATTATATATTGATTTTAAAGTGAAAAAAAATTATACATGCAAATCTGAATATGAATTAGCAGCTAGGTTACCCCTAAGAAGGTGGTTTAGAATACGTACAATAAAAATACTGTGCAGTATTTAAAAAAAAATTCTTACCTACAAATACAGTAAGGTACCACTTAATGACCTAAAAGTGTTCATCAATTGTATTTCTGTTCAACAAGACCCATTTTCCTATAGGATCTTGTGTTGAAAGCCAAGATGCATTCCAGCTCGAAGGATTTAGACCGAAAACCCTATTATTTTTGGCTGAAAATGTACTAATTGGTGCCTACTACATTAATTTTACACAATACTGTATAGTAAGCTATTTTTATGGTTACCGCATAAACTCGTGTATAGTTCGCCCCCTGATTTTGTTGTAAAAAAAATCCTAAGTTTTCATATACTACAGATATCTCTTGTATAATTCGCCCCCAGCTTTCACAACTTGCCTACTAGAGGCTCCTGTTGGTCTGAAATCTAGGAAATTTTTTTTTTAAATTCAGTTATTAAAATCTCATGGGGGGGGTGTAGGGGTTGTATGTATGCATATGTGTAGGCGTGACTGAAGCAGATGCGGTATGGGCTAAGTCCCGGCAGCGTGGGAGGCGGTTGGCGTGACTGACCAGTGAGGATCGAGTGCTTGGGGGAATTAGAAGCCACGCTCCGTAAGGACATCTCACCAATAAAAACAAGACGACTTTCCACTGTTATCGGACCTCCTACACTTACCTTTCCATTTTAAAGAAAATAATTTACAGATATTAAGTTTAACAATATCTGATTTATAATAGACTTTTTATTGTTCAGTGTACAGTACTGTATATTATCTTACAAAATTTCTGGCTTACCAACACTGCCTTCTCTGTCACTGGTTGGGTAGAGTCACAGAGGTTTTTGATGGCTGCTTCTTGATCCTCTTGCATCACACCTCCCTGTAGATAACCTAGCCCAACTGTTGGAGAACATTCCATATTTTAATACATTAAAATGCAAAACAAGCATAATCCTATTCATGCAATAATGTGCAACTCAAATATTCCAATGCAAGTAGTTTCTATACCTATAGAAGATGATAAAATCCCAAGTGAGAAATGTCTATGGAAACAAAAATTTTCTGGAAGATTAGATTAGATTACCCCCGAGGGGGCTAGTTTATTGGGCAACACAATTACAAATGAAAAAGTGAAAAAGTATGAAATCCCCTTTTATGGCCATAAAGAAAAATTAAGTCATCTGAGACATACTAAACATAGCACTAAAATCCCCTTGCAAATCCTGCCTTTGCTATGCTACATTAGTAACTCCTCACAGTCAAATTAGGATTGAATTAGAGCTTATAACCTCTGACCTTATTGCTGTTCAGGTCATGGTTAATTATCTGATAACCTCGAACAATTTGAATCCCTTTGACAATGAAAGGAAATAAGATATTCTTAAATTCCCTCAAATTTTTCAACACTGAAACCCAAATGTGTGAATTAGACCAGCAGAACACTGCTTCCAGTATAATACAAACTAGACCATATTTAATACAAAACCAGTACCGGTAGTTATTCATCATCACCATCATCATCACAACATTTTATAGCCATTTTCTACACTTGCATGGGTGAACCACAATTACCTGATGGCTGCTGTTGGGTAAAACTAGAATGAGTATCCCCTCCCCCAGGGTGCCAACCCAGAAAATACAGCAAGAGACCAGGAGATGGGCACAGCTCTAGTGACCTGGCCGCCATCAGGCATGCTTAGGCAAAGATTTATGGCTAGATGCTCTTTCTAATAGCATACAGTATTTGTTTAAATATAAACGTATACTGTACCATACAATACATAACTGGTAACTAGAGTGTGTTGTTTGTTTTAGACATGCAATGTACTAAAACAACACTGGGTTTATTTAAGGTACACACACAAATAGTCCCGACTGTATACACATGAAAGAAAATTATAATTAAATAAAATGTACAGTACAGTATAGTCATTGTATCTTGTTACATTTAGGAACACCGCCCTCTGAATTTAAAAATCAAAATTGGGTTTGCTTCTTGGTACTGTGTTATCCAAATTACCCGGTACTCACCTTTAGTTGCTGAAGAATAAACTACAAAATCTCAGGAAACAAATTTGGAAACTTTAGATAATTTGGATCCTTTGGGTAATTTGAAAAGGGTAAAGCCCCAAAGCTGTCAAATTTGAGGCATTCTGATGATTTACAACTCCACCTAAAAAGAAAACTTGGTCACTTGTTTCTATCTTCTGCTTCTCCTTAGTACAGGATGGAGGACATGTGTCATTACAGCTCACTTACTATACCCCAAAATAGGAAGCCTTGGATGAATCATGTCCAGTACATTTTCTATACCCATACAATCATTATGAACAATTCTTTAATAATGACAATCGTTGATTTCTGAATTATTTAACTATGTCTTGAAATCACATGCAAACACTCACCAATACTATAACACTAAGCACACATTACCCCACACTCTAGATATTTACAACACAGCACAGTTACGAGCAAGTACTGTACTGTACTGTAATAGCCACCAGTTGCAGGTAAGTGTCCGAACTAACAACCCCAACCCTTTGGACACACACTTCCAAACTCTTTCCCTTAACATCCTTGAAATTTGACATTACTCTGTACCTGTATTTCATAAAAAAAAAGCACCTGTGCTGTATAGGTACTGTTGGAAAAAATTACCAGTACAGTATATACAGTATATGAATAATTACTCACGTTTAATCAATTTCCTGAAGACGATTTTATCCATGTTGTGTGAAGCCTTTACCAGAGTCTTCACCTCACTTGGGACACTTGCAGTGAAGATAACATTTTCATGTACACCTCCAGGAACAGCCATGATTACCATCCCAGTTCTGCAATTATTCATAATAATGTAAAGGAGATGACCAATTTGATATGTTTGACCTGATAAACCGAGTTACTAGACATAGACAAACAAAGATCAATTACCATACAAATAAAAATATTAAAGTTTAATATGTGACCAATGGTAATACGTACTTATTACTTTTACTTTTTTTTACTTTTATCCTCTTCACCACTGCTTGGGCGATCGGTCACATCTCTGTTATGCACTATTGGCAAGTACTGGCTCCTGAATGTATCTGAACCTGCTCCAGTGCTTGCCAAGTCAGGTCTTGAAGGAGCTCGCACTCGGTGCCGTCACAACACTCTCTGGCAGGTTGTTCCAAGAGTTAACATCTCTCACTCCAAAAAAGTTTGTCCTTACAGTACAGTTTTCTGGACTTGTGGCTTCTTCAACCTTGAGGTGTGGCCTCTTGTGGGGCGAGCGTCTGCCAGCTCCAGGTAAGGACACTCGACTTAGTAGTGCCCTTTGAGATGTTTATACACCTCAATTAGGTCTCCCCTTGCCCATTTGTAATATAAGTTAGGCATTTGCAGGCGATCTAATCTCTCAGGGTACCTGAGGTTCCAAAGTGCTGGCACCAGCCTGGTGGCCCTCCATTGGTCATTTTCAATCAACTGACAGTCCCTAGCACATTACTCAGTACAGTACATCTCTTAAAACTAACGTTTCGGAAAATCATTTTCCATCATCAGAGCCTAGATAACAAAACATTAGTGATTAAAGAAACCCAGCCTAGTCAAGATGTTTGTGTTTTCCCTGGTTCTCGTCTTCGTTATGAAACTACACTTTCCACGTAACAAGTCCATTGGCAGTCTACCGTCAAGTCCGCGCTTTATTATAGTACAGTACTTTATTAATAGAGCACAGACTTGAGGGTAGACTGTCACATTTTTAAATAAATTTGTTTCTGATTATTTGTGAGAGGATTTTTCCAATTATTATTTATGTGTATGTGTTTTTAGTGTCACACACACATATACAATACTACAGGTAAAAGAAATAATTGTCCTAAGGGCAAACACAAAGGGAATATACATTTCTTTGTACACAAGTAAAAAGGTACCCCCCTCTCCTCTCAGTCCGCCAATGTTATTTGCAGAATTGGCGATTCGCGGCCATTTTGAGAACCTAACCCCAGCGAATTTGGAGAGTCCCCTGTATATATATATATTTTGTCAGAAATTTATACTGTATACCGTATGGTACACATAGACAGTACAGTACTTATATATTTTTTACTTTACAATTCACTTAAGGTAATGCAATTTTAATCACACAAACTGTGTAGGGCTTTAAAGGAGAGGGCTATTGTGGGGTTAAAAAAAAAAAAATGATGAAACCAAACCTGACGAATCTCAAATATCAGTTACATGTCTAACCTAACCCAACCAGAGAAACCAGAAGAACCTGACCTAACCTGAACCTCCCAGTGTGTAAACCTAACCTAACCCAACAAGACAAAAGAAAAAGGGAACCTAAAGAAACCAAACCCGAAATAAAAAAGTAAAATAACTCGACGTGAATGTAAGTACAGTACGTACTGTAAGCACATGCGCATGAGTATCATGTGACAGACACTCCTAGTGATTGCCTGAATAAGAAGTAAACAATGTACTGTATATCCCTGTGAACTAAAAAACAATAAAGTTCCGTGGCTGATCAATACAAAATATTGACCATAATAAATTATATAATACTACAATACCATATCTGGTATAGTACAATACGTACTTAGGAAAGATGGTTAATATTAATGACTGACCCGCTGACGTGTTATTTGTTTTGATGTTTTTCTTCTTATGTTCACAAAAAACATAAAATTACACCATATCATTGTAGGTTCTTTCTGTTTAATATACCGGGAGGTCTGGTTTGTTTGGTTAGGTTGGTGAGGTCTTCTAATAATGCTTTTGCTGCTTGTTTTTCATATCAACTAAGGTTAGATGAGGTTTAATTTGGAAATAACCACCTTTTTAACACATTTGCACAAATAACAACCGCGTCCATTATAAAACAAGTGAAATTGCGACATTTTTATACTGTAATCATTTTGTATGAAAAATCGGCCGCTGGTCAGTCATCAATAATTACAGTACAGTATAGATCCCTGCTTCACCAAATGTCAACCCAGGCACTAGTGATTTCACCCGTTAAATATAAAGTTACCATTTTTTTCCTATGAATACTGTTGGGTAATAGTGGAGGAGACAGTTTACACAAAGTTGTTTATAGAACTGGTTCCTTTCCTCCTCCTCCTTGTAGATTAAGTTAGGTTAGGTAGATTGGTTCCTTTGGTATGAGAATAGTTTCTTTAGTTGTGTTTTACTCAAATCTGACCTCCATTTTTTTGCAAATTAGGAGTTTCCATTAAAAACATACATGCTAATTTAAAAAAAACAAAAAAAAGGTAAAATTATCCTTTCAGTCATCCACCTATTTGGAAGTTACATTATGTTTTCCAAATCGTTCAAAACAATTCACATCAAAAACCATCGGAAAAACATCGGTCCGACTAATTACCCAAATGTACCCAAATGTACCCAAATATAGCCGGAATGAAGTCAAATAATGGTCCTACATGAATAAATCGGACTGCTAATCACTTCTCGACTAGTATTTGGTGTCAGAAAGTCACAAAAAATTGGAAAACTTACTTTAATCTGAGTTAATAGATCGCGTGCATGTACAGACGGAGCGAGGAATTACCCAAATGTAGCCGCAATGAAGTCAAATGATGGTCGTACAAGCGTAATTCGGGCTGTGAATCACTTCTCGATTATTATTTGGTGTCATAAAGTAAAAAAAATTGGTAAATTTAATTTAATCTGAGTTGTGTTGTGTTAGGTTAGGTTAGATTAGATTAGGTTAGGTTAGGTACATGCACTCGATCTATTAACTCAGATTAAAGTAAGTTTTCCAATTTTTTGTGACTTTCTGACACCAAATACTAGTCGAGAAGTGATTGGCAGTCCGATTTATTCATGTAGGACCATTATTTGACTTCATTGCGACGACATTTGGGTAATTAGTCGGACCCGAAAAACATAGGTAAAATTGCAGATTATAGCAACCAAAGAATCTGATAAAAAATGTGTTAACCTAACCTAACCTAATGTAATATAATAAAATTATCATAGAAAAAATAGTTCTATCAATTGAGGGTAGCGAATTTCCGGAATTCTGTGTTTGCTGTTTACTGCAATATTACCAACACATAATTTCAACCTATATTAACTAACCTAACTTAAGTTTTCTCCGACGGTAGAAACTTAAAATTCTAAAATTAGCTGGAAGGCCAAAACGATAATATCAAACAACTATTTGCACAAGAAATAAAAGTCAGAGTTGAGTAAAATACCCCAAAAAATTATTCTCGTACCAAAACCTGAGGATAGCCATTGGACTATTTACCTTAGTACTGTATTTTACTATAATTAATGGCATATGCGTCACTTCCCTGGAGGTAACAGATGACTCACTAACAGTACACTAGTAAGTTAGTAAACATACTGATGACTTGGGGACGGATAGTCCTAGGGAAATACTTTACTGTATATACCCGCCAGACCCGCCCCCTAAACTAGCACAAATCCGCCAAATGGCGGATTGGCTATATTAGGGAGCGGGGTCTGGTGGATATATATATAATAGGAGATATTCTGAAGTCAATAGTAAATACTGTTTACTATACAAAAATGCCTGGGAAATACTGTACTGTATATACACGCCAGTCCCCGCCCCCTAAACTAGCCCAAATCCGCCAAATGGCGGATTTGGGCTAGTTTAGGGGGCGGGGTCTGGTGGGCATATATACAATACAGTATACAAGTAAATCACTGTAGGTGCGCGTTATCCAAGTACAGGTATATGCTGATAACCGCAGTGTGTGTGTATATATATGTATATATATATATATATATATATATATATATATATATATATATATATATAATTTTTTTAGGCGATATGCCCATAATTCTTGTTCTTCCAATACAACCTACAGTGCCTTGACTATTATTTATGTCGATTTTCACATATTCACTTGAGTCTCTCTTGCTTCTTGTGGATTGTTCACGAATATTTTTGTTCTGATGCTTCTGTGGCATTGCCACAGAAGCATCAGAACAAAAATATTTCACATGGTTGCCACAGTGGCAACCATGTGAAATAAATTAACCTCACTGAGTTCAGTCGATTTTTCTTGGCATTTTTATTACTCCTTTTTTATTCTGTGGATTGATTATTGATTGCTTCTTTTCTTTTCATAAAAGAGGAATGTGACTGCAGCCTCTGGAGCTCCTAATGGCGCTATGTAACTATATAGTTGGCACGAAGACTGCCTGATGCTGGTAACTTCAACGAGTCAGACACTCGGACAGCATCGAAACGGTAACTAACTTAACTTGCAGGTAGCGGTCCTAACAGTATCGTGATAGTTTAAATTTACTTAAACGTGGCAATGTATGAACTGGAAGCGGGACATTAAAAGCTGCGCCAGAGCTGAATGTGGATTCTTCTACAATAGTATTTTCTATTTTGTATTTCTATAAGAAGTGCTGTGACCGCTTCCTATGGTGCGGTCCCCTACTTGTACCAAAGAAAGGGATTTGAAACGCTTATATATTTAATTTTATTCAGAAATACGGACTATAGTCAAAGAAACTCTTACCCCGCCTTCCACCCTCCTTTACAAAATAATATTCAGCACTGTAAAGATAAAGTTTTTTTTTAATGGAGAGTCAATGTTTCACTGTGTAATGTGACTTTGGCTTCGTCTTTATACAGTAAACTCGTTAAGCATTTGCAATATATCTACTCAAGTGTTTATTAATATTATAACAAAACCAAACTTACGGGATTATTAAGTACTTGTTTATCTTATTGATAACTATAACTTGGTGAATGAAATACGCAACTCTATTTTTTTTGTCAAACGCTGTGTTGAGTAGTGTGAGGTTGACGTCTTACCACTGACAATAATAATCACTGGTGGAGGAGTAAGGAAGACTATTGTTCTCAGGTTGGCGAACACTTCTCATTAAGTGAAACACTGCTGAGTCTTCTGAGGTGAGTATAAAGAAAAAATTAATGTAAATTTATGAGAATATGGTTTTAGTATTCACAGGAAGAAACCAATTTTATGTGTTGGTATGAGAAGCAGATGTCGAGTGGATGCAGTGCTCACCTCCTGTTCCAGAGGACAGTGGTTCAATCCTTGGGCACTCCCAGTTCACCCTGCTGTAAATGGGTGCCTAAGTTTACAACTTGGGAAAGTGAATGCCGTTGAGTGCAGTACCGGCCATGCTGCCTCCTTGTGTACCGAAGGCATATACAGTGTGCTGTATCCACACTGTCCATGATGGGCAGTCATGACTATGGTAGACAAAATGGAATAAACAATTTGTCTGCCATTGTGGATTTCTTCTCACACATTGCTTTTCAGGTTGTGGTGACTCTCCATGGTCTTTATTTATTACAATTTATATTGGGATTGAATTCGTTAATTTTTTCTAGAGATGTTGTTTGGATGGCATTAAGAAAATTGAAATGACAATGCACAGGTTAGGAAATTGGGTAAGGTTAGGTCAGGTTCTAATAGGTTCTGTGCATTATCATTTTTATTTTCTTACTTAGTACTGTATCATCCAAACAACATCTGAAAAAATGGTGCAATTCCAGAAAGTCCTACTGGTGCTAACCCTCTTCACCATAACAATTTCTTCATTTTAAAAGTGATTTTTAATGTGTGTGTTATGGGGCAACCTGGCAGCAGTGGATGTAGATGACCTGTCTCATAATATTTAGATTTTGTCTGATTATATACTGTACAATAATGTAAAGTACTGTATCTTGAGTTGGTCAGAATCTATTTTCTTTAAAGTTATGTCAGCACTTTTGGAGAGGTGACCACTTGTAAAATGATACAGGAGCCATTCATATTTTCTTCAGATGCTTTACAGTACAGTACTTGTAGATGTGTGTTTTTTTTTACTTAGAAAAAGCTAAGTTTGTATCTTCATTGCTTTGGTGAATTGCCTAAACATCTGTCAATTATGTCTGATTTCCAATTAAAATCAGATATACAGGTGCAAACAGGGATGTTTTTTGTCATTTTGTGAAAATGCCAAATGGCAAAGAGGCTTTGACCTTCTTACCTCCTCCCCATCATCAACAACGTTTTTCAGCCATTTTCCATGTTTATGTGGGATAGCTGTGATTACCTGTCAGCAAACCCAGGGTGCCAGCCCAGAAAATGCAGCAGAGACCAGGGGATGGGCACAGCTCTGGTGATTCAGCTTCCATGAGGCATGTTGAAGCAAATTGTTATAGTTGGATGCCCTTCCTAATGCCAGCCCACAGGGTGAGGAGTGAGAACAGCAGGCAAGGCAAGGTCTCAGCTCCCCGAGGTCAAGAAAGACTACCCACTTATTGTTATACAGTCGTTTCAATGCTGGATCCATTAACTATAAGTACATTCAAGTACCAAATGTTCAATAGAGAAAATCCCCAAAACCATTAACTTTGCTGACACTCCTATTTTGAGCATTAACCAGTTGTTGTGGTGGTGGTGGTGGTGTAGAAGACTGGTGTGTTTTTTAGGACTGAGCACTTACAGCTTTTCCTGTTGTTGGATGCTGAGGAAATAAATGAAATCTTTGATGTCTGATATTAAGATTTTTATAACTAGGATAAAACTTAAGCTTAATGATGGCAAAACCGAGTTTATTGTTATCTAAGGAAATAGAGGGGTGACAGCACAGATGATTTTGGTTTTTTAAACTTTGGGTAAGTACTGCACTGTCTGGTTGATTCTGTTTGTAATCTTGGGATGCACTTTGACTCAAAATTTAATTTTAAAGAGTACTATATAAATTCACTAGTTAAGAGGTGCAACTTTCATATTTGAAATCTATATGCTGTGAAACAGATTTTGGATAGACAGTGTCTTGTGACACTTAATTAAATTTACTTATTTTGACTTGGATTGACTATTGTAACTCTTCATGGGTCTGCCTACCTAACTGTCTGCTGAAGAAAGTTCAGAAAGTATTGGACAGGGTTGCCAGGCTTATTTTTGCACTCCCACCGAGGACTCCCACTACCCCATTCTTGAATGAATTGCATTGGCTTTCAATTAAAGCTAGGATAGAGTTCAAATTCTGCCTAATGACTTTTTAAGACACCAATGTTTGGTGAGTTTAAGTATTTGGCCAAGCTACTAATTCCACTGACTACACATTCTGAAATGATTTTGTGTAGTACCTGTAGTGATGATCCTTTATGACTTAAGAACTTTCTTTAATTGAAAGCTTATGATCCTGAACAGAGTACAGTGATGGAAAATTACAGGGTTGAGGAAGTATTAAAACTTAAGAATATATGAATGGTAGAAGCTGAACTCACTTTTTGTGATCCTTTATTGTAGTACAGTACAGTATTTCTTTTTATGCTCAAGTCTTTGACTTTGTACTGTTTTGAGCGCTAGTGAATTCTTTAGAACAACTGGCGCTTTTGAGAAACAAAAGACCAGCTATTATTATTTATCATTATTATTAATCTATCAAAAATTTGTGCTTCAACTCTGGTAACTGGCTACTACTTTTGGGGGTTTCTCTGGGTTGTTTTCTCGTATATTGTCATGATCGTGATAACGGCTAACCTGAAAACCTTAAGGATTCATATTACGCTCAAACGTCCACAAAACCTTCCGAGTCCCCCAGTGGAAACGTCCCCCGTTTTCTCTGTTTCCCCGTCTTTGTCTTAAGGGAACTTTGAATATAATCCGCGGATTTCGTAGCAGACGCTGTATGTTGGGACCTGTTGCCATCCAACCCTTTGTAATCAATTTAATTTTGCTTTTGATAGCTGAGTCAGAGCATTGTTAGTGAGGATTTATGTCTGTCTGTCTGTCGGTCGTATATAAGGATTAGCCAATCTTATTTTTAATCAATCCCAATATTTTTCACAGAATTTTCCAGAAACTTGTAAGAATTTGTATAGACTTAGTGTATCTGAGGTTTCATTTTCATGTACGTACTTCAATTTGTATAAGAAAAATTAAACTTGGGGAATTTTGTTTTATTTATTTTTTTGCTTTGTTAGCTTTTAATTAACTTTTACTATTAACCCTACTTTATAAAGACATGTCAGACATTGGTCTTTCTGAAGAAGAATTCTGGCAAAACAGCCATGTCCAAAAGGTTATAGGTAGAGTAACCACTGTCTAAAATTGTTATAAAGATACCTGGTAATAATTTTTATATTTGTTCAAGACTATCCTAGTAAAGACCACATAAAGGACTTTTATAACACTGTGGTGGTTTGTGAATGTTCATTTAGAAATGTGCTTAGAAATGTCAAACAAATCAGTTTTGATCAGCTGGTACAATAATTCTGTTATTGAAAATCTTAGTTCTTGCAGGTTTGGACATCACCAGCATCATCATGAGCCGTGAAGACAAAGGGTCTTATCAGGGGTTTGGTGGTGCTGGCAGCGGTGAAGCAAGAGACTTCCTCGGAGGGTCGTCGTCAGGAACTCCGTACAGATCTGATTTGTCTTCACTGGACCCGGGAGCACAGATAGAGATGTCAGCTGCTGTTTCAGGAGTTGTTCCTGATGGTATGTTACACATGGCGCCCCAGGGGCAGATCCAGGAATATCAAAATTGGGGGTCCAAGAAGTTTTGGGTGGGGGAACATGGCGAGCATAGCGAGTTCACCCAGCTGTTTTTTTTTTTTTTTTAATATCATGGGCATTTTGAGACCATTTTGAAGCCATGTGCACTTAATATTAGGAGATATTCTAAGCTCCTTAGTAAATGTGCTTTACTATGCAAAAATGCCTGAGTACAACACTGCATTAAAGAAAAAGTACAGTATTGGAATTTTCTGATGAAAAGGGGGATCTGGACCCCAGAAACCCCCCTCACCCTGGATCTGACGTTGCATCAGTAATCATTGCTATTGTGTAAAACATTGAAATTTGACCAAGTGAAATTCAAAGCTGTGATCTTATTTCTAGATTGAAGAATATTGGAGATTGTGTTCCATAATTATTTTTTCCAGTACTGCATTGTATAATCTCTAATTATTTCCAGTATTTGTTCATGTTGTTGATGTCAGTGATGCCTTAAGCATTGAGTGGTGATGTTGTTTGATTAAGTTCATTATTTTGGGGCGAAGGTTGAGCTAGATTTGTAATATGGGCACTGGAAATGCATTGTCTCTTTTATTTGTTGAAGACTGCAACTGCAGTCTGTTGCTTTGAAAGATGTCAAGTGAAAAAGAAGAGTTTTGTTTAATTGGTGTGTAAATTGTAACCAGTTTACTCCCTTGTAGTTATTGAAGAGGAGTTTTGAGTATGTAGCTCTAATGTTATGGTTAAGTTGGTGTGTAATGAGTAGTAATGAGGTGGTCTGTTTTTTTTCTAAAAAAAATTTCCAGGTTGTTTGTTGCTAAAGGTGATGTAGGGTAAGGTTGGTCTGTCTGTGTGTATGAAAGGGGATCTAGTGTGATAGTTGTGGTTGTAGAGGAGGATGAGTTCGTTAATTCTGGTGATTACTGTTGTAGCTGTATACTTGTCATGGTCTAAACTGGATTTCCAGTAACAAGCCTCTGTCCAGCCATTGCCTTGCTCTAAGGAAATTTTCTGGATAGCTCTGCTACATACAAACACGACAATGTTTATTCGGTCATACCTGGAAATACATGTCCCACTATCAGTTGTAAATACCAAACACACAAACAGTATCCATCATACCTTGTATTTAACTCACATCTAATAATAATAGCAATCAAGTGATTAACTTCCCAAGTTGGCTGAATACAATTGCTCAAACTCGCTTGTGACGGATCTGTTGTTATGATGTGCGTAAGAACAGTAGCGGACGATTTCGGATGTTATCACCGTACACTAAACTCTGTAGCTGGGTCACTGACGCACAGTTGCTAGATATTGGTTAGAAGTCGTCTCCGGACACGTAACCAGACCACCTCTTGTGCTCACTGCATCTTACACACTGCCCTCCTGTGCGTCGCCTGTTCACTGTCTTCACACACTATCATCCTATAGCTAAAAAACCCACATCTGGCCACCACACCTTCTCTTATCGAGTAGCTAATGGATTTGTCGCTGACGCTTCAAAAATACAACCCTCATCTCTCTCTCCTCTCCCTCTTTCCTTCTCTTCCTACTGTATCTCATGTCCCATAAGATGCGGTAAAATCCAGATTATAACCAATGGCAACATGAATCATGGTGTGCATGTGAGTTAGTGCAGCACTGATGACCCAGCTTTTCCCTATTTGACAATTGTCACCTCAAGTGTCCCATTCTAGGGGCTGTGGTTGTTGGGAAAGATGCACTTTTTAGTAAATTTATTTTCAATCACACATGCCAAGAGTCCTGTTTGTTAACTGTGCATTAGTCCCTTGGTCTGTGCTTAGTTATGAAATGGGATATTAGTCTCAATCTCTCCATTTTCTTTTGCATAAAACACAATAATTTTTCTGTGGTTGATTGGAATTTCTGTTTCAGACACGTTTACTGTTGATCAAGCTGTCAACGCTCTTGGATTTGGAAAATTTCAGGTACAGTTCAGATGACTAACATGATTGTGAAATGGACAAAAAGATTCCAATGTAGGAAATTAATATTCACATTATTTTTGTTAGAAAATGAATGGAAGGAAATGTGTGCCCCACACTTTTAGTTGGACATGATGGGAAACAGTAGAGTGAAAGAAATAAAATGATTTATGATGTTCAAGAAGCATATTACAAAGGGATTATTAAAGAAATATATATTTAGTGCTGAGGCCATATGAACTTGTGGAAAAAAAATTACCAAGAACTTGGGATTTCAGTGTTTGGAGGAGGTTTCTTGTGAGCATCCCCATTGTTGCATTGAAAGGTGTATAGGGTGTTGATGAAGATTGAAAGTTGGGAATTAAATGTTTAAATTTGAAATAGAAAAACTATACAGAGATACATCCTGAGCCTGCCTATTTAAAGCCACATTAGCTATACGGGTGTGAGTTATTGATATTGCTCATGGAAAATACAGTTAAATGATGAAGCTTTATTCAGAGTATAATGTGTGAGTTACTCTTGCTTTATCCTATCACTATAGTCTTCTGCATCCTCAAATTGTCATTGTCTTATGAATTCTAGTTGTGTCATTTACAAGGGTAGCTTAGCTACCTTATAGTAATAAAAATAGTTGTATTTTGCTTGTAAGGTAGACTAACTAATATGCAAAGTACTGTCAGCCAACAATTTTTGTTTGCATGTTGAGATATAATTATTGAAAAATCTGTCAGAATCCACATACACTACTCTGTTTTGATTACCTGTGTAGTATGTGAAACAGCTTGATATATAAAGTACTGTACTGTATATTTGAAAGTGTGTAGAATATACTTGAACATAAGTGCTTAACTTTATACAGTACTGTATACAGTACTGTACAGTATATTGTAACGACATTTAAAAAAAAAATCTTTGTGTATTTAAGTAATTTTATCTTGGACAGGTGAAACTCTCTCTTATCACTGGACTATGCTGGATGGCAGACTCAATGGAGATGATGATTCTGGCAATCTTAGGCCCTGCACTACACTGTGATTGGCACCTTTCAGAATGGAAGCAGGCTTTCCTCACCACTGCTGTCTTCATTGGTTAGTACTGTATTGGTCTTCAAGCTAATTTGACAAAAGGTAGATTTCTAAGTGTACAGTATACTGTACACAGAGTTTATAAAATAATTTTGGTTGAATTTAAGGGACTTCTTTTATAAAAAAAAATCTTATTTCTCAGGAAAGGCAAAAGATTTAAATTCCTATTATAAAACCAGCCTTTAGATGTATGTTTACAAGGCAAATGCAGATGGAGGCCCACTAGCGGAGAACTTTGTGTGTTAATAGGTCCCTAGTGCAAACCAAAAGTGCACTATTTGAGACTGAATGTGAGAAGGACCTAGGTGTGTATGTTGACAATGAGCTGAAGTTCTCGAGAAGAAGGCAAATCAGGCAAATAAATTATTGGGTCTTATAAGATGGTCGTTCAGATATCTAGACGGTCCGTCCCTCGTAATGATCTTCAAGAGTGAAGTGCTTCCCCATCTGGAGTACTGTCACCTCATCTGGTCCCTGAGATATGCTAGGGACTGTCAGTTGGTTGAAAATGTTCAAAGGAGGGCCACCAGACTGGTGCCTGCACTTCGGCACCTCAGCTACCCTGAGAGATTGGAGCGCCTGAACTTGCCTAGCTTATACTACAGACGGGCAAGGGGTGACCTAATTGAGGTGTATAAGCATCTCAAGGGGCACTACTCAGTCGATTGTCCTTACTTGGAGCTGGCAGACGCTCGCTTCACAAGGGGTCACAGCTCAAGATTGAAGAAGCCGCAAGTCCAGAAAACTGTGAGGGCAAATGTTTTGGGAGTGAGAGTTGTGAACTCTGGGAACAATCTACCAGAGAGTGTTGTGACGGCACCAAGTGTGAGCTCTTTCAAGACCAAACTTGACCAACACTGGAGCAGGTTCAGGTATATTCAGGAGCCGGTGCATGCCCAGTACTTGCCAACAATATGTAACAGAGACGTGACCGATCGCCCAAGCGGCTAACGAGCCGATCATTTGGTGAAGAGGATAAAAAAAAAGTAACAGACGTGACCGATCGCCCAAGCGGCTAACGAACCGATCAGTGGTGAAGAGGATAAGAGTATTAGAGTGACTTAGGGTCTTTTTGCAACTCATACTTTGTAACAATAATTATAGTATGTTCTTGAATGTTGTAATGTAGGAAGTAAGCACAGAAATTGTATTTTCATTTATTCATTTATTTTCTGTTTTGTTAATTAGGGATGATGCTGAGTTCGGCCTTCTGGGGTAATCTCTCTGACAAGTATGGGAGAAAGAAGTCTTTAAGATTGGCAGCGGTGATGTTGGCTTATTGGGGATTACTCTCTGCGTTTGCCCCCACATATAATTGGATTGTGTTATTGAGAGGACTTGTGGGATTTGCAATTGGCTGTGTACCTCAGTCGTGAGTAACAAGTATAATGTCCTGTGTTGCTTTTACTGCATGCTTGTTTTACTGCTTTGTTTGTGTACATTGTTTAGATTCACATTAGTGGACCACATGAATTGTATTTGTTTTATTTTATTAGTAGAAATCTTTTTTGCTCATTTTACCTGTTTTATCCTTTTCACTTGGTCGTGAAATACAATGAAGTTCATAGTTTAGAATTGGAAAATTTGTTTACAGTGTAACCCTGTATGCTGAGTTCTTACCTGCTCACCAGCGTGGCAAGTGTGTTGTGTTGCTTGATGTGAGTGCTTTTATGCTTCCCTTTTTGTACTGCTCTAAGCTTCCTTGGTAATTGAAAATGTTGATAATTCTTATGATGATTATAGAACAGTGTGTTTTGTTTTAGTAAATAACTCCACTTTTCACCAACAGTATATAATGTAGGCTGCCTCTAAAATCTACATACATTAAGCTATATCATATGTGAAACTCAATTTTCCATGATTATTACTTCATAGATTATAAACAGTTGTATTTCTAGTTATTAATATGGGATACAGTATAAGAGTGAGGATAAAAACTGGGTTTACTTTTCAGTGTTTTTGGGCTGTTGGAGCTTGTGCAGAGGTTATCCTGGCCCTGTGGGTGATGCCAACCATGGGCTGGACAGGGCTCCTGGCTCTCTCTATCATCCCTCTGGTTCTCTTTGTGATTGTCTGTCAGGTGGGTAAACACTTGACCTTTAAAAAAATTAGTTGAAATCATGCTACTTAATGAGTATGTGTTAGATTTTTGGTGACTAAGGTATATTACACTTCAAGTTTTCATATATTATTATTATTATTATTATTATTATTATTATTATTATTATTATTATTATTATTATTATTATTATTATTATTATTATTATTATTATTATTATTATTATTATTATTATTATTATTATTATTATTATTACCTTTTACCAGTTTTCAAAGTCTGTACAGTTTCTCTATTAGTTGACAATCGTCTGTACACAGCTAAATCATGCAGAACAAGTGTAACAATCCTCAAAATGAAAACAGGAGTAAAGATACACATACAGGTAATAGTGTACAGTTGGATATTTGTAGAATCCACCCATTCTTCCGTATCAATTGTTTCAGATTCTGTTTTAAGATTCTTTTCAATTTATTTACTTATATTTATTTCCTGTGAGCATATCTAGGAATTTATAGTAACCTATTATGATCTTTTCATTACTTTTCAACTGGTAATTGCTGCCATCACCCAGACATGCCTCACACAATATTATCATGGTTTCAACAGTAAAACCTCTGAATTAACTTTGGTAGCTGGCAGAGAGGTCAAGGTACATGAATTCTAAATACTGTATTGTATTTTCTGACAATCAAATTATATTTGAAGGAATGAAGGGTGATGCACTAATTACAATTAATTATGTACTATGTATGGAAAGAGGTGTTGTTGCCTTGTTCATTTTGGATTATCATTTACAAATTAAAGGAACTGCCACTTGGGTTCAATCAATGCTTATTAAATGCTACTTTAACACTTATACAAAACAACACTATTTGGTCTCACTTGTAATACTTCAGTAACACTCACAATTGTACTATTTTGTATCGCATCCTTACCCACACTGAAGACCATTCACAATACTGTACTATTACTTATAATACACCGAGTACCATGGCTACAGATCACACTGGTGACTAACTAGTATCAACAACTAGGAATCTTGGTGATATTACAACACTAAATATCAGTACTTCTTAATACAATTACTGTACTATACCTGATACTGAAACAATACTTATATCAACAGGATATAACACACATACAGGTTGGCTGACAATAACATGGCATGGCTCACATTCACCACAATGGAGCCAAACACTGCCTTGGGGTTCACACAGGCTGGAACCAATCCAGCCTGACTAGAATGAATAGATGATAGAAACTGCTAGAATGAATAGATGATGGACACTAGAATGAAGAGAAGATTCAGCAGAACACTACCCAATAACTTGAGATGTATAGGATTAGAAAAGAGAGACTGGAACAGTATAAGGGAACTCTGGGTGTAAATGGGTGGGTTTGGGTGTAAATGGAAAGGTCTGGGTGTAAATGTATGTAGTTTGTCTTGGTGATTATAACAGCGGAAGAGGCCCTAAGTATACTAGAACTTCTCTTTGTCAATTGTGTGTTTAACGGGTTTCTCCTACATTGAGTAATTGCTGTACTCCTGAGAAAGAAAGAAGCTGAGAGAGATCAAACAGGGCTGCATAGTTGCCAAGGCCAGTGTTGGCTTTGTAGTTATGATCTCTAAGCTGAAAGATGGAAAGCTTGACATATTCTGGAGCAGTTTTTAAGTGTGTGTCAGATTGGTGGTGATATGTTTTTTCACTGCTTAATATCGTATTTAAAAATTTATATTAATTTTACTTAAATTTTTTGTTGCAGTGGTTACCTGAGAGTGCGAGGTTTGATGCTGCATCAGGAGAATCAGAAAAAGCTTTAGCAACTCTTCAAAAGATTGCAGATGAAAATGGTTTACACATATTTAATCTTTCATGTTAGAGTTTATTTATCAGTATATTTAGGTAGTGTACTGTTTAAGCTAAATATGGATACAATAAGTGAAAAAGAGCAATAATCTTGTATAAATTCTTTCTTTATCAAAGATTCAAACTGGTCTGTTTATGGGGCAGTCAAGTAATAAGAATAAAATAGCAAACCTGATTAATTAGTTGGACTGAGAGAAAACAAGTAAATAGTGAATAAGGAGAGAGTCTGTGTTGTTGTCTCAGTTACTACCATTCTGCTCTGTTGTGGGAAGGTCTTGTAGGAGTGGAAAAAATGTATAATATTATATTTTGCTTGTTATTTCCAGGAAAACCAATGTTACTGGGACGTCTGATTGTTGATGATGTTGCTCAGATGAACCGTGGACGAATAAAGGATTTATTGGTTCCGGACCTAAAATGGACAACACTGCTCTTGTGGTTTATTTGGTAAAACATTTATCTCTTTACCCGGTATTCTTGTTCTAGTACCTGTACAGTGATTTATAACAAACTGTGATGAGTAACATTTAGGTGGAAGATAATTTATTCTCAAAACCCGACTAGCCTTAGAGATGAGCACACATCAAAACCATTGGATCTCAATGTATAACCGGTGAAGAGAGAATGTTGGCTAACTTGCAACTTTTAACCCCTATTGGGACAAATAATCATGTGACTTGTTTTCAGATTCAATTGTTATTCAGTAGTACATGGTGAGAGCAAGCCAAGGGTTTAATATTTAGATGAAGATTACGACAGATAAGATAGGAAGTGAGGAGCATTGATTGGCCTGCCATTTTAAATAAAAGAAAGTTGACTTTCCTGGAAAATCAGAGTGAAATATTTGATGGAAAATTTATACAGTAAATCCTTAATGTTCATGGTGGTTAGTTAGTGTTTAGCTGTCTAGTTGGGGACTTGTAGAGTATATCCAATAATTTTTTTTTTTTACTGATACCCCTGTATTAGAATGTCGTTCTCACAGTATGTTTTTTGTGTTTTAGGATATCATGTGCCTTCTGCTACTATGGTGTGGTGCTTATGACAACAGAACTGTTTGAAGCCAAGGGTAACCTCTGTGCTCTCTCGGGCATGAACAGTGCTTTCACATGTACAGCAGATTGTCGTCCTCTCAGTTCAGATGACTACCTTGACCTTCTTTGGACTACATTAGCTGAATTTCCAGGTATGAGTTTTAAAAACCTTAAATGTGAATATTTGTAACTGATATCTGCTCACAGATACCTGTAGTGTTATCTATGAAGTTTTAAGAGGACGTTGCATATCATATATGAAAAATACCTTATAATATATTTAAAATTCACTCATCTCAGTCTTAGTGTGAATGAATAAGTGGTTTGGGTTCATAACTTGAGAATTAATGATCAGTTTCTCTCTCAGCCTATAATGTTCTTGGTAGGACATTAGACAAACTCTCATTATCCAAAACAAAACTTATAAGATTTTTTAAGTGTTTCCAGCCTTCATAAAATGTATCTTAAATAATATAAGGAAATTCCTACAGGTATTTTCTTTACCATTTTGGTCATAGAGAGACTTGGAAGAAAGACAACAATGGCCCTGGAGTTTATAATATTTGTTATAGCCATCGTCATGCTGTTCATCTGCACGTCAAAGTAAGTCAATTATATTTTTCTTTTCTTTGATTAATGATAGACTTATTATTGCTTATTTGAATTATTTTATAGAATTATCAAAGGAATCATAAACTAAAAAAAAATATGTGGTTTGGAGGGTGGGTGAACAGAATCATACTACCTACACTCGTGTATGCAGATGAGATCATCATTGTCATCATTTTACAACCATTTTTCACACGTACATGGGTTAGCCATGCTTACTTGATGGCAGCTCTCCATGCTGCACAGCTTCCTGCAGCCTCTTTTGTTCGGCGCTTATCTCCGAGGTTAGGTATTTCTCACTACCTCTCCCAGTGTCATTCTTGGTATACCCTAAGTTCTCTTCCCCTTCACATTTAAACTAATTTACCTGTTTATTTATCATTTCACCACTTATCCGCTTGCTAGCCATTTGGGTGGTTGGTCTGTTCTTTGTTATGGATTTTATTTGTCTTGTGGTAATACAGGAGGAAGTTATTTATGTTTTGTAGGATAGTTTGGTCATATAATTAAGGATGAGGGGATAATAACAGAATGTTAATGGGCAAAATTAAGGGTAGGAGGGCCAGGGGAAGGCAGAGAATGGGATGGATGAATGAAATTAAATACTGGGTCCCCAGAGAGATAGAAGATCATGGAGGATTGTTAAACACGCCCCCAAAATTTTTTGAGTGGAGGAATGTGGTTGCCAACCCTCAGATATGAGGACTGTATTCTGATTGATTGATTAAGATTCACATTTGGATAACACCCTTTTCACATGTGTCTGGGATAAGCAGGACTCAAACCTATGACATAGTAGGCCACCATAATTTTGTATCAAACTTTCAGGATTCTGAACTTATCCAAATGGTATACAGTATACATTTGTTTAATAGCCACAAATTAAAAAAAATGAATTCCAAATTGTTGAAGTCAGAAATTATGAGAGTTTACTTTACTGGGGTATTTATATAACTTGTGAAATTATGATCCTGTAATTGGAAAAGTTTAATGAATAACTACGGTAAAAACCCTGAGTACCAGACCACCACAGTAACAACATAACAAAATAATGACACGAATCTTGGAAATTTATTTTTTAAATTTTGAAAAATTATCTTACGGATCATTGTTATAGTTGTGGAGTGACGCAGCATGGACCACGTGGTGCTGTAAGCCCAGCCCGCAGCTGTTCTGCACTCAGTCTTTACGTGGCATATAAATAACACACATTGTGAGAACAATGCCCAAGCAAGTACGTTAGAGTAAGGGCCCAAAGAGCAGAAAACATCCTACCATGAAGGATAAACTTGAAGTGTTAGCCATGGTAGACAATAAATGCTTTATTTCTGAATAATGCAGAAATTTAGAACTCTGAATTTACTAAAAGTATATCATAAATGTGATCCACCCATGTCCACTCGCCAGCAGCTGTGGCCTTGAGATGGCTACACATGTTATCGCTAATTCATGTAATGGAACTGTAAAAGTTGCGGGAAAATCATTTCAGTATTCTCATGTAACTTAGAAATACAGTGAAGGAAATATAATATATAACTGTAAAAAAGAAAAATGAAGAGCATAAGTGCGAACAATATTCTGTGTGGGAGGTGAGCGTATTTGTGGATGCTTCACACTTACCCCAATGTGATGTCACAGCATACACACTGTAGCAGCCACGCGTCTCATCAGTCAACTGGCTGGCTGAACTCATCCACTCTTGACATTACCCAGAGGATGGGTCAAGAGCAGAAGGATCTATTTTTTTGCATATAAAATGTGTGCTATTGTATTTTATGATGTGCTATGTAATATTTTCTTTGTTTGTTATAGTAATTTTTGCTAATTTTTGGCATATTTAAAATGCAAAATAACAAAGGATTGGAACCTATTCCCTTTTACTCATTGTTAAATATACCTATGACAATGAAGTTCCTGAGAATGAAGTGGATTTCATGAACACATCCACTTAATTCACATCATCCACTTCATCTCACACTGCATAAGGTCATCCATGCCACATACATACTTACATACATATGTATGTTGGGTCTCAGGAACCTTAAAAAATCTTCTTTGTGGCTCTTAAAGCTTCTAAAATCAAGAACCTTACCCTACATCGATTAACACTTGAAATAAAAACAATTGAAGTTACTGCAAGAATAACATAAGTAAGATTATTTTACTTGAAGTAATTTATTATGAACTTAAATAAGGCAATCTGTGTTAGTGTAATATTCTGGCTGCTGTTTTGAACAGTTTTGCCTCCCTGCTGATAAGGATGTCCGAATAATGGATTCCATTTGAGTAACAACGTCACTGTGGCTTATTTAGTCTGGTACTCAGTGTTTTTACTGCATACAAATTATCTCCATATAGTAGAAGTAATAAGATTATGTGCTTCCTCAGTCGAACGTGGCTCACTTTCATACTGTTTATGGCACGTGGCATCATCTCGGGAGTGTTCCAGGCAGCCTACGTCTATACACCAGAGGTTAGTGTAAATTTTCTGTGTACTGAACTATATTTTGATATAGCTATGACTTAACACACACATACATACACACACACACCACAATATACATACATATACTGTACACAAAATAGATGAATGGGGACAGGTAATAATTGGATATGCCACATGTGAAAGAGAGAGGGCTGTGACTCAGCAAAGTGTTTTTCCTACAAAATTCTAACACTGTTTTTTTCCAGGTGTATCCAACATCCCTGCGAGCAGTGGGTGTGGGGACGTGCTCTGGCATGGCTCGTTTTGGTGCTATGTTAACACCTGTTGTTGCACAAGTCCTAACACGCACTTCTATACACCTTGCTACAGCAACCTATGGCATTGTGGCCATTCTTGCCATTGTTGCAGCATTGATGCTTCCCATTGAGACACGAGGCAGAGCAATGACTTAATTTTTAAAATTTTAGAACTCATATTTCTTCAAGATTCTTCTGTGGGAACTTTTCAAAGCTTTGGCAAATACGCCTGCTGAAAGCAGTACCCTACCTTGATAGAGGAGAGATACTGTGCTTTACTGCATCATATAAATATGATAATTCACCTTCACAACTGGATCCTAATGCATATCTACTTTGTAAAAAGGTACCATAAAAGGTAGAAGGCTTGACAGTTTTGGCGTGAACATAATAAGATGCTCTGACCCATTTATTTGTTAACATCAGTTACCAACTTAGTTCTAAAGTCACCCGTAGCACAGCATGGGCATTCTGTTCCTGCTTTAACCTTGCAGACAGCTAAGTATTCTGTCTGTGGTATTAGAGTTAGACACTTATATAGGGTGTTCTGTGGCCACACAAGCCTGGGTACTAAGTTAGATTTTTTAGAGTGTTTCCTGTTATTAATGATTCAAGTTCTCCGTTAACTGGAAGGTAGTTGTGGGGTCAACACCTCCTTGTACAGAGTAATACAAAAATCTAATGCATAGATTACCATATCTTTTATAAAATATTGTCTACCAGATAAGGGTTCTGACCCAAGGCTACTAAGAGTTGATCCTGGTTTATTTTTTTGGTGGAATCTCAGGTAAGTTTCACATCAGGTGTTTACACTGGGTTTCCTGGCTTGGGGTTATCAGATCTGCACATACTATATTCAGTGTGAAACATGTTGAACGTGTTTAGAGGCTTTACTTGCTATCTAAGGGCATCGTCCCACTGGAACCATTTTTTAAATTTTTATTATTATTATTACAGTAGTAGATTTATATGAAATTTTATCACATTAAATAATGTGTTAAAATTTCAGCAGTGTTTCCATTAAAATTTCAACAAATTTGTGTGATAAGATTTGTTTATTATTATTTTCTCTTTTTATAATCCAAATACCTGTATAGCAAATGGTTTTGATGGAAATTATTATGGCTTTTAATGATATAAAGAGCATGGACTGATGATACTTCAATACTAGAACCAAACAATTATACCCATTCAATGATGAGGATAAAAATCCTTCAAGATTTATGGCATTTCCATCTAATTAGGTATAGTAATTTTTAATTTACTTAATTTTTATCCTCTTCACCACTGATCGGCTCGTTAACCGCTTGGGCGATCGGTCACGTCTCTGTTACTTTTCCTTTTCTTTTATCCTCTTCACCAAATGATCGGCTCGTTAGCTGCTTGGGCGATCGGTCACGTCTCTGTTACTTTTCCTTTTCTTTTATCCTCTTCACCAAATGATCGGCTCGTTAGCTGCTTGGGCGATCGGTCACGTCTCTGTTATGCACTGTTGGCACTGTTGCACACTCTTTCTAGTACAATGTTTAATATCCTCCCATCATTGGTGAATGTAATATTGTTTGAAAATTTAAAATCGTCCAAGAACTTTTGGAGTGATTTCCAATTTTATGTGCAAAATGCTTGTTTTGAGTTTCAATCCTTTGAAGATTTACAAGTGTTTGTCACCTTTCTGATTTTGTTGCACAATATTAATCGCTGGAGAGCAAGGGTGTCAAAAGGCACTACCTTTTTCTCTTTGTTGTTAGGTTTAGAACTTATTAGAATAACCCAGATTTATAAAACTCATTGTGAGCAATATTACAGATCACTTTCAAGGGCTTTATCCCACTACGTACTGCATTTTAATTACTTACATTGAGTCCGTGAATTGCTGATTGATAACCCTTTAGAGTAGAATTTATGTTTTCCCCATATTCTGCTTTATCATGTAATGTAATAGAAGTCTTTATATAACTTTATTTTAAGGCTGCTTATAAATGGAATACAAGAAATAATTTGTTTAGATAAGCAGCCAGTGTTTGCCCTGGGTGTAACCTGTTTGGGTATTGGATGGTTCAAACTGCTGCTACTGCTGGCATGATAGTTTGCAGACATTAAATTTTAATCTGTTTTATCACAAATACCTGGGCAGCACCAGGTTCAAATACTGTACTGGTACTTGGGACAGATTAAACTTCATTTCATCTTAGGTTCCAGAGAATAAGTGGATGATAACTTTTTTTTTTTTTTGCTTATATACATAGTTGATGATCATGAGTGGTAACTACAACCAACACAATAGAGAGGCTGATTTGGCTCAGGTTGTTTTGAAGCAACAGATTACCTTATTCTCAAAACCTGTACTCTGACTAAAGGTGGTATACATGGAACCTTTTGTAGATATACGCAGGTGTAATGAAAACCTAGGTCACTCTGCCCTCTCTTCTTAGGGAGAACAACAGATTGAAGCAATATCAACTGACTAGAAGGGTGGTATCTTCTGGTTGATGGTAGGTTCTCTCATTTTAGGAATTCTGAAAAGAAGATCATTGAGACTTTTAAGTGGTTATAATGGAAGATGGAGAGACTACATAATAACAAGGTTCCTAATCAGAGAGATTCAGTGAAATTACTGGCTGATAAAGTAACACCAAGGGTAATCAAAACCATAGTGTTGGCATATCTACAGGAAAGTTCAGGATGACATCTTACCGAGTCAAAAGTCAGTAAAAACACTTGGAGGCATTTGTATACATATATATTCAATTCTGAGAGCTTTGAATGGATGATTGACCCTGAAATCCTGTTTTATAACAAGAGTCATGGTTGAATAACTATTTCCTTTCCTCTCCCCTGGGATTGCTTGGTGACCTTCATTTTAAGCTGGTAATTGATGTCAACAAATAAACTAGTTGATTTGAAGCATCTTCATGTTATGCTTACAGCAAAACCCATAAATCTTCTCTCTTTTTAGGGTGCTTTCTTAGTAAGTGGATATCCTTTATGACCTTGGTATGAAGATAAAGAATAATCTTATTATTGACTATCATTAATTTTAAAGCCTTGTCATTACAGTAGTTGGGGTCTTGGTGCCAGGTTTTTTACCCTTAATCATGCTGACTGTATAGTGTTCAGTTTTGAGTTGGTTATAAAAGAGTATTTTTAAATAAATTTTAAAATTTATTCCTTCCTAAGGTAGTTGTGTAGAATATCCAGAAGTACTTGAAGAGTTCTTGTGACTGACTTCCGTAAGGGGAATATATGTTGTGCATCAAAGCTTTAATTATCTTGAGAATTGCTCCTTGTATCAGGTGTCCCCTAATGATCAAGAGATAATTGTTAAGGTTGATCTTGTTTCTGCATACACAGCTACAAGATAGAATTTAGGCCTTTCATTGTGAAGTATCTCTTGTAGTAATATTAAGACCAATAAAGAAAAACAAGAGAAGAGTAATGATAAAAAAATGGTAAATTAGTATGTGGATTAAGATTTTGTTTTTATATAAATTCAGAATGAAACACAATGTATCAAAGTAGGAATAGTGGCCTGTTTATTTATAGATATAACCCAGATTGTCTTCATATTAGAATAAGTAAATTGAACCCTCACTTTACGCGGTCAATTGAACCCACGGCGGCCCGCGTAAAGTGAGAAACGCATAAAGTGAACAACATAACATATGGGATTAATTGAAATAGAGACTGGGCCGACCCCCAAACTCCACTTTTTCAGACACAATACCTACATTGTAGTAAAAATAACTTCTTAATTTTATGATGGTATGCACACACAATTAATAATTAAGAGAAATATAAATAATATTAGGTTTTTTAACACTTACATTATTAGAAAAGATGGCTGGGCACATGGGGATGGGGGGTTGGTTCCGAGGCAGAGGGCAGATTATTGGCCCTCACCTGTATCACTTGCATCAATTGTATCACTATCCACCACAGAGGCTTGCAGGGCCTCTTTGTCAAACCCCTCAAAGTCCATATAAATCCATATCTTCACTATCATTATCACTGACTTGGGCTGGCTGTGGTGGGTGGCGGGTGAAGAACTCGGTAATGTTTTGATGACTGGGCGACCTTGTGCGCACCCTGCTCGCGCCACTCTCCGCGTAAAAGGGTACACATACCGCGGAAAGTGAGCATTCCGGTTTCGGCAGGGTACCGCGTAAACGTGGAAACGCGTAAAGTGAAACCGCGTAAAGCGGGGGTTTACTGTAATAGAATATAAAGTACGTGTAAAGAAACATTTATGTACCTGTACATGTTTAAGATTTGGTATATATACATACACATGCCTGTACAGACAAACACACACACACACACACACACACACACACACACACACACATTCACTAACACGATGATGAAATCATTATACAGGTACAGAATAATATTTCTATAACTTACAAATAGGAACTCTGTTAATAGTGTTACAAAATAATGTAGTAAATGAATATCAGAGAAGGAATAGTTGATGTTCTGAAGGTAGCAGGAGGTTTAAAGCTAATGAGGATATTTATAACTTTTTGTGTAACTTTTAATTTAATATATGAGGATATCAGGAAGTGTGTGTGTGCGTGTAGAGAGAGTTCTTATTCGTCAGTTTCTGCCCGTTTCTCTCTACACATTTCTTGCACTTTTCGCCTTAACATTTCCTCCCTTTTCTGTAGGTTTTTGTTTTCTTTAATCCAGTCTGCATGTATGTGTGGTTGAAAGAAAAAAAAAAAACTTGGTTTTCAGTACTCTTTCTCACCCCTTCCATCCTGGTAACTCCAGATGCAGGCCTCAGGTAACTCATCCCTTTGGTTCAAATTTTATACCATTCTGCTCTTCTTCAATTCCTTATTTTACTGCCCTGAGAAAACATTATACTCTATCTGAACTCATATGGTGATACACTTCGGCTGACTATTCCCCTTCCTCTCCCGGATTTTATTATTGATCCTATCATTCTTTTCTAACTTCACTAATGAATACAGTGAACCCTTGTAATTTGCGGGGGATAGGTTCCAAGGAATGGTGTGAATAGGCATTTTTAAGAATTACCTGTAATTTGGGAAGCATAAAGGGGGAGGGGGAGCAGGAAATAATGTTGATTACCTGGCAGTGAAATATATCTAGTTCTAGGTTTAAGTTCATCACAGTATAAATGCATTACCGATATTAACTTGCATTTTGATGTAATACAGTACTACATTCTTACCCCAGTACTTGCCAACGGTGCATAATACTGTAATAAATTTTTATGTTTTTACTAATTGGTTCATGAGAGAAATTTATATGTGTTTGTGAATTGAGGTTGAGACATACAGAGCATATGATGGATTTTGGCTATGTTTATGATGAAGGTTTTAGCTAGAAATTTTATTTAAACCCTTGTTAATGTGTATTAAGGATTTATTTATATGTCTTAAGTGTTGTGACTTGTTTTGTAGATATACATATATATAATACTGTACAGTATATATATTTTTAATATTTTTATGAGCAGGATAAAATATTTATGAAGTGTCAGTTTTAATCTTGCTTGGTAGCAGTTAACTCTTTCTAGGTATGAAACCATGACCTAATTTATAAAAGGCTGAAATTTTGGAGGAATTTAGGCTTAGATGAAACATTTATAATTTGTTTGAATTCTTTTATTCTTGGTTTTATGTAAATTATATAAAAACTTGGTTCATGTGTATTCTTAGTTTTTATTATCAACTTTAACACATTTTTACAGTTACAATACAGTACTGTACTGCACAGGGTATTGTCAAATTTGATGTAAATGACATTTACTAAGTGATCAAAAGAATGAACAATGCAGTACTTTGAGTATTCCATCACTGGAAACAAGAATTGATTAACTTTGCCCTTTTTTTTATGTTGAAATTAGTGTTAGGAGCTTCATGAAAACAAGTAAAAGTGTTTTTGTGGATACTCAACTCACCGAGTGAAATTAATGACTCATGTATTTCAGCAGTTCAGTAGCATCAATAACAGCAGATGGTGGTAGTGTTTCTGTTGCTCTTGATTCTGACCACTTTGTAATATTCAGGAAAACACTTAGAATTATAAGTACTGTATATACAGTACCTACATATGTAAGTAGTTGACAGCTATCAAACTGGGAGATACTCTACTACTGCCTGGGAAGATATTGGAAGCATAATGTGTTGTCTAATGGTAGACACTGCTGCCATATGGCATCAAAAAAATTGTGACCAAGTCCCAGGTTGCTGATCTGACTAACTTTGTCTCATTTACACACAGTTTCAGGGTTTCGATTGTTTCTCATACAGGAGGCTCCCCAAATTCGCGGGGGTTTGGTTCTCAAAATGGCCGTGAATCGCCAAATCCGCAAATAACATTTGCGGACGGGGGTGGGGGAGATACATTTTTATTTGTGTACAAAGAAATGTATATTCCCTTTGTGTGTTTGTCCTTAGGACAATTATTTATTTTACCTGGAGTAGTGTGTGTGTGTGTGTGCAAATAAATAATAATTGGAAAATACTCTCACAAATGATCAGAAAAAATTTATTAAAAATATAACAGTCTACCCTCAAGTCCGTGCTGTTACAGTACTGTACTTTATTAATAGAGCACGAACTTGAGGGTAGACTCGCATTTTAATAAATTTGTTTCTGATTATTTGTGAGAGGATTTTCCAATTATTATTTATTTGTATGTGTTTTGTGTGTGTATCTACACACACACACACACACACATATTTATAATACAGAGTACAGGTAAAGGAAATTACTGTCTCTAGAACAAATGGATCCCTGTCCCAGCCGTGAAAATGCCGGCAACTTTAAAACTATCCAGACATTCTTTGGTACATTCAGGGTGTCATCCGCGAATAACCGAGAACCGCGAAGTAAAAATCCATGTACTGGGGCTGTACTTCGACAATACAACATATTTATCATTTCTCACTCGATCTGTTTTATTTTTTACACTTGTATATTTATTTTTGGCCTCAATATGGGTCAGAGACCCGTGCCTGGCCAATCCCCGTAACAAAAAATTATATTTATATATATATATATATATATATATATATATATATATATATATATATATATATATATATATGTGGTTTAACCACTGCAAAACATTCTTCTGTAAACGAAACATGAAGTTAACTCATCTGTAATTCTACCCGACAAGAAGAGTTTTTTGTTCACTTCTAATTCAAGTGCTTCGATAAATTGTGAAATGATAGATAAATAACAATAAATATTCGTTCAATAACCTTAGTTATATTTAAATACATAATTATTATATATGGTTTATTGATAATAAGAAAATATACAGAATGCATCATTAATACATTTTTCATGAAATATAAAGAAATATAATTTAACCCAGCGACTCTTCATGCTGTAGTTCAAGTAAAATATATACATCACAAAAAGACGAAAGCAACAATATAAGTATTTCTTGGTATAAAATTTAACACATAAAATTTTATAATGATATTCTGTTGGAGTTTATGCAGTAACAGATGAGATATCAGGTAGATAGGTGTTATGGTAGCTGTGAGGCGTCTGCTGTAACACACACGAGACATGTTGAAGCTGTCCTGTAGAAGTCTCGTCCCCAGGTAACTCACACTACCTTAATATATCACTTGGGGGACAAAGCTTTCTTAAATTTATCTTACAAGTTGTTATTATCCCAGTAAATATGTAACATGATATATGTGACGTGTTGAGGTCCACCACAGTAAGTCTTGTCCCCAGGTACTATAAAATCCTGAAATTAACTTTAGACTGGTTAGTTATATTCTAAAACTTTAATATATGGATAACTCTTCTCTAAAATCACCGTACAAGTTATATTATTCTAGTGTAAACATTGACAGTATAAATTTATTATACTAATGATAAATTACGTCAGTCAAAAGTCATGTAAAAATCTTATCTTTCATGTAATTATTTGAACGATTTTATTATGATTTTGTGTCATTTGGGAACATTAAAACGTTATACACACTGTCAAAGAGGTGAATATAGTAATAAATTTGGTGGTTTTAATAATTACTTTGGTTTACACTCACTGTGTTCGTTATTTTTTAGTAATGTCAAAATTTGAGGGTTTTCTGTAATGGTTGTATTTTAGTGTGTCATAAACAGCTTTTGACACATACACTAGGTGGTGAGGGGCATTTTATGGTGTTGATGAGGATGGTGACAACTTAGAGCTATGAGAAAAAGATTGTTCACGTGAATAAATAATGTTTGTTATTTTCAGGAGATGCGTGACTGGGGTGGTGCGGTTCTTCACAGTGGGGGAGACGGGTACTGGCGGTGCCCCTCCCATCACCAAGGTGTCCCTGAGTAAACCAGTGTCTTGGCTGCCCCAACCTGTGTATGCCACAGCGTCCACCACTCCCTCGGCTACAAAAGTTACCACATTAGAGAATGGACTTCGTGTTGCTTCAGAACCCAAATTTGGAAATTTTTGCACCGTTGGAGGTAAGGTTGATGTCTTTTGCCCTTATTGGGATTATGTTTAGATTAGGCACTCTTACCTTACTTCACCTGTTGATTAAAGACCCAGATGCTACCTGTGGGGTTAGGTTAGTGTTAGGGTGTTGAATCCTCAGGTGAAGCAAACTGGGGTGTCTAATCTTTATCCTAACTTGTTTCACCTAATGATTAACTATGCTAATGCTAACCTTACCACACCTTACCTAACCTAACCCAACCACACCTTACCTAACCTTACCACACCTTACCTAACCTTACCACACCTTACCTAACCTTACCACACCTTACCTAACCTTACCACACCTTACCTAACCCAACCACACCTTACCTAACCTTACCACACCTTACCTAACCTTACCACACCTTACCTAGCCTTACCACACCTTACCTAACCTTACCACACCTTACCTAGCCTTACCACACCTTACCTAACATTACCACACCTTACCTAACCCAACCCAACCTAACCCAACCGCACCTTACCACACCTCATTTCACCTATCCTAACCTCCCGGGGAACGTAAGGATGTTTCATCATGTGAAATAGACTGGGGTGCCTAATCCTCATGTAATTCCCATTAACCTCTTTAACTTTGAGACACCTGTCATGTATATATATATATATATGTTGACATTACAATATACTTTTAAAACTGTAAACTTATCTATGTCAAATTATAGAACTGTTTGTACTTATATACTGTATGTAGTTAAATGTATATATACACTATATATATATTTTTTTTTTTTCTTTTGTAATTCACAGTTGTGGTTGACAGTGGCAGCAGGTATGAGGTGGCTTATCCAAGTGGAATCTCTCATTTTCTAGAGAAATTATCTTTTGGGGTAAGGATAGAGGAAATGTGTAGCTGTCAAATGGTGTTATAGGTCAGGTTAGAGGAAATGTGTAGCTGTCAAATGGTGTCCTAGGTTAGGTTAGAGGAAATGTGTAGCTGTCAAATGGTGTCTTAGGTCAGGTTAGAGGAAATGTGTAGCTGTCAAATGGTGTTATAGGTCAGGTTAGAGGAAATGTTTAGCTGTCCAGTAGTGTTAGGTTAGAGGACATGTGTTGCTGTCAAGTGGTGTTACATTAGGATAGGTTAGATAAGAATTGGCAAACATTTTTTAAAGTACGTATCAATTTTATTATTTTTTATTTATTATATTTCTCTATCTTCAATAATTAACCTAACCTTTGCATAGGACTTGAACTCTTTAATAAACTTGTATCATGGTGAGTCTGTAGCTTACTTGATGCTTGTATTGCAGTCATCAATAAGATAATGTATGTTATAAATGATATGGTCTGACATTCTGCAGTGCTGGGAAAGTGTTTGACGGTGGCACTGTTTCAAGTACTGTACTGTACTGTACTTTGCTTTGCTTATATTGCTGAAGATAACACAAGTCAGCTTAAGCTCACATTGTTAGGTTATGATAATGCTGTTTGTTCTTTATCTTGCAGAGTACAAAGAACCTGTCGCGGGAGCAGATTATGACCACTTTCGAGAAACTTGGAGGAATTTGCGATTGTCAGTCGTCGAGGTATTGTCTAGGGAGTAGAGTGACCCACTGTTAGATGAACATGGAGAATTAGAGGGCCAGTGTGTATATCATGGGAGTCTGTATGTCATGCCAGTGTATATAATATCATGCCACTGTGTATCATGGTAACATATATCATGGCAGTGTACATCATGGTAGTGTGTATATTATGGCTGTGTGTATATCATGGCAATGTATATATCATTCCAGTGTGTGTGTGTGTGTAGACTTTTCTCGGGCGTTGTAGACTGATCCTACTGTATAATGTTTATGAAGTAACTATAAGACCTTGTTAGCTAGAGCTAGACTACAAGTTTTGGTCCAATTTCTCCTGCAGGGACACCTTCATATACGCAGCTTCGGTAGAGTCCAAAGGCATGATAGACGCTCTGGAGGTTCTCTCTGAGGTCATCCTGAGGCCTCAGCTGCTTCAGGAGGAGGTAGGATATTTGAGTGACCTACTTTTTCTTAAATTTTTTACTTTTAGTTAAAGTGAAACCTTCATATAATGGACTTCTCTCTCCATTTAGTCTATAGATTGGGGGGCTTCACATATAACAGACCCTTGATATAATGGATTTTTATCTATGTAGTTTGTTAGATGGATGTTTCATATCTAACGGACCCTCGATATAATGGATTTTCCTCTCCATATAGCAAGTTTTCATACTGTGTTCACTTAAGCTCAAATACTTTAAGAAACTGTGTCTGGCTTGGACTGTTATCCTTGGTTTGTATGAGTAGGAACCCGGCACCTCACCTCACCTCACTGTCAAGTAGATAAGTGTTTTGTCAGCCAATATACGGTAACAAGGTATACCATAAGTTATAGTTACCAGGTCTCTTGAAGTTTAGGAACCTCCCCTTATTTCACCTGAAGGTTAATTAAACACCCTAATGCTAACTTAACCTAATCTAAACTCGCCTCATTTTAGAGCATAATGGTGTTTATCCATTGGGCGAAATAAGTTGGGGTTCCTACTTTTCATAGGGATCTGTTATACCTATGGGACACACTTTTTCCTTCTTCTAAACTGTCTTCATGACTCCTCATAAAGATTACAGATGCACGTATGGCGGTGACCTTTGACCTCGAGGACCTGCAGCTACGCCCAGAGAAGGACACACTACTGATGGAGATGATACATGCGGTAAATTTGTTAATTCTCACGTAAACAAACTTGGGCAAAACAGCGGTGAATTGTGTTGGGTGTATTGAGTCGAACAGTACTGTACTTGTGTGATAGTTCAAAGAAATGGAAATACAATCATTTCACTTAATAGAGATGATTGTGTATGATAGTTTAAAGAAACACAATCCAACCTTTTCAATTTAATCTTCAGGTGATTTTTATTCTTCATTTTATAGTTAGCACTAATAATTGCATTCATTCTCATTGTATCATCAGGCAGCCTTCAGAGACAACACCTTGGGCCTGCCGAAGATCTGCCCGCCGGAAAATGTCATGAAGATTGATCGGCCGACTCTATTTTCCTATCTCAAACACCACCACACTCCCTCCCGCTTGGTATTGGCTGGTGTTGGGGTGGATCATGATGCCCTCGTGGAATGTGCTCAAAAGTATGTGTGTGTTTCTGGTGTACCATAGATGCAAGTTTGTTTCTTAGACATGTAACATAATGTGTTACACATATTGGCAGGAGGTGATTGCCCTTTGTTTATGCTATTTGCTCTCATGTGGTCACGATATAGGACACACGATTTAAACCTATGAGAGTTATATGGTTTAGCCCTTTGGGGATGATGTGGTTTAACCTTTTGAGAATAGTGTGACTAAACCCCTTGAGAATAATGTGGTTTAACCTTTTGAGGTGACATTATTTCAAGGATTAACACAGTTAGTTACTAAAATTACAGTTTTTTGATGACTGGTCCTTATTCTGTATATTGAGGTTTGTAGCTATTACCTATAATGAGATTCTGAACAATTGAAAAAATGCTGAAAGTTGGATTTCATTATTATCTTCCTGAAGGTATTTTGTGGAGCGTCCGGCCATCTGGGAGGAAGACACCAGCTTGGTGGGGGGCCGCAATGATGTTGACCATTCTGTGTCACAGTACACTGGTGGAATAATTAGGGTGAGTGACCTCTACAAGGCCTGTCAGTCCTCCACCCTATCCATGAACCCTGAGACTCTTGAACCTGTGGATCCGAGATATCATACATTGTTGGGCCCATAAATGGTGCACTCTGTGATGTCTCTGATTCACAAATTCACAAGTCATGGGATTCATGGATGGGATGGAGGTCTGACAGGTTTTTCCGTGACTCTACATGTGAAAGGCGTAGTGTTGCAGCCCTTAGCAGTGTGTTGGGTAAGTTCGTAGGCACTTTTTCTCGATTTTAAAATATCACGTGTTCTGGAAGTTTCCCGGCATTTCATAACAAAAGTTTGCTTTATCAGAGAAAATGTGGTATTGGAAGTTATTGAAATTTTAATAGTTATAGTTATATCAACTGTTGATACTTGCAATTGTGGGCTTTTTGGGGGGAAGGGGAATAATTTATCTGCTTTTATTATTAGTATTATATAATTAACATAAACTTATTAGTAGTTCCACCTGAATGTGTTTACTGTGACATTAATTTACATGATTCAAATATTGGGCATAACTTGAGACACCAGAAGGTTTGATAATTTGTTAATATTCAGTTTTATTCTTTTAAAGGAAGAAGCCGATCTTTCCGATGTATCCTTGGGCCCAAACCCTCTACCAGAGTTGGCTCATCTGGTGATTGGTCTAGAGTCTGTAAGTCATCAGCACGACGACTTTGTTACATCATGCGTCCTCAACATGATGATGGGTGGAGGTGGCAGCTTTAGTGCGGGAGGTCCTGGGAAGGGCATGTACACCCGCTTATATACTAATGTTCTTAACAGGTAAGGGGATGGTAGTCTCACCTGTGTAGACGAGGCTTGATTACTTTTGAAATTTAGAGGTACCTGTATATTCATTTGCAAAAGTTCAGATCTGAAGGACCTGATGGTTCTGTTTTTCCATTTCTGTCTCGGTTCTAAGCAGTTTGAAAAATATAGTTCAGTCCTTAAGAGAGTAGTTGATTATGGGTCAGAACTAATGACTCCAAACTTGAAGGTAATTTCTTCATGCAGGTATCACTGGATGCACAATGCCACCGCCTACAACCATGCCTATTGTGACAGCGGCCTCTTCTGCATACATGCCTCGGCTCACCCCTCTCACCTGGGAGAGCTCACTCAGGTCCTCACTAGAGAGTTTGCTGCTATGGCTGGCCAAATGAGCAGAGAGGAGTTAGAGGTAAGAGGTAGAGGTGGTGAGCTCATGTGGTCTCCAATTCGTTTTGGCTTAACCCTTTAAGGGTAATGATTTAACACTTCAGGACTCAAAGGGTTAAAGGTTAGGATATGAGAAAATGTCATTGTTTGAAATTTACATGTTGTATTATATATAAAGTAATGACAACAATCACAATAAAATAATGAAGACTACCAAAGCAAAATCATGTTTGCTGTAATTATATTTTGAATACACATGTCTGGAAGCAATGGTGTTGGGTGTGGTAACAATATTATACAGCAGCTCGGAAACTCCACCCTCTACCCAAGGCAGGGATTTGACTTAATAGTTTAGGTGTTTACAGACTTTTGAGTGAGGAAATTTAGAGGATCTATTGTATTTATATTGAACAAAGTAATTATATGTACTGTACTGTATATTGTATATTCAAATTGAGGGTCTGTCTAACTGTCAACCATATCATAATTTTATTTTTTTGCATTTCTTGTTCACCAGACCCTTGTTGTGTCTTGTCTCAGTAGGTGAGGAGTGAAGATAAAAGATGTATTATCTATGCAAATTTTCAGAGAGCAAAAATACAGCTACAGTCAATGTTACTGATGAACCTGGAGAGCCGGCCGGTGGTGTTTGAGGACATCGGGCGACAAGTGTTGGCTACAGGCAAGAGACTTCAACCTCAGCACTTTATGGAACTCATCAGTAAGTTTAATAATGTATACAGTATACAGCCCGAATTACTGTATTAGCTTGCATTATGTTTTGCAACCTATTAACCTATGAGAATTATATGCTTCACTTAAATTGTATACAATGTATTATATTCGGTCAAATATTTTAAGATATCCACTAACTTAAATTTTTTTATTTACAGAAAAAGTCAGTGCCGACGATATAGTGAGAGTAGCCGGGCAAATGCTCCGTAGTAAACCAGCGGTTGCAGCTCTCGGAACCCTCAGCCGTTTAACTACCTTGCCTGACATAGAAGGCGCTCTATTACACAGGAACGGACAGTTACCATCCAGGAAGAAATTTACCCTATTCCGATAGTTAATTAGTGCTATTTAAATTTATAATCAAAATACTTAATAGACTGAATATTTTTTTAATAGATTTTGTGATGTACAGACATTGACATTGACTCGTGGTACAGTACAAGACTCTTTCATTAAGACTCCACAGTGAATGAGTCAGTTTGATCAGTTTTATATTATTGTAGTGTACTGCTAAAAAACTACAATTCTTTACAGCTTTTTTAAATTCCATATTTATGATGATGAAATTGATTTAAGGGTATTTGAGTATGTACACATGTATTGTCATTTTTGTATTTTGACTTATCAGTTTATATTTAATATTTTACAGAAATGAAATTTTTAATGCACTGGTTTGTTGTACTGTTTGTGGTCCAAAGGTTTATTTATTCTTTGGTTCTAATTTTCTTCAATTATTTATCTTGCAGTTGATAATGTTTCACTGTTCTGGACTTCATCTTGTGGGTCACAGAGTTGTACCCATGTGTTTTTGTCATGTTTAATGACTTGAATTGCTCACTCATTATTATCAATGAGTTGTCGACAAAACTGGTTGGGAGAAGTGAAATATGGCTTCAAGTGTAGAGGTACAGATCTCTGGGTGTACAACATTGCTTGATGTTTGGGGTCTTATCGAAGTGCTTTTCAAGGAATGCCCATCAGTACAGCCTTGCAGAGTTGTGATGAGAGTGGGGCAGCTGAATTTGTATTTTAATGCTAACTTTCTAAGCATCCAATTTTAAAGTTACGTTCAGGAAATATGTGTAAGGGCATGTCCAGTAGAGGATTAATTTTGTGGTTAAAAAATTCTTTGCATTTCCACCTCACTGTTCACTTCCAACATACCATTTTAAACATTTGTCTCAAAATTTTTAGGTAAAGAATTTTTTTTTTAACCCAATTTCCCTTTCAACATAGTCTTTTCTTCAATTATATTTTCAAGTCTAATATGATTCATCACATTTTATATTTTTTTCCTGAAATTTTGCTCTACAGGAATTGTTATGATAGTTTTTATATAATACAGAATGGGTTAAAAAGTAAGAAAATTGCTGTATTGTTTTGCTGTGACTGGAAGCCTGGTATTACTGTAACTGGAAGCCTTGTAAAATATTTGACAAAACAAACTCAGGATTTGTACAGCTGTGGACAATATTCCCCGAACACTTGGCACCATCTAACATGTAAGTACAGTACTTGAGGATCATTAGTTGAGTGGGATTGAAACTTAATTTTTTTTTCAGGTTTTTCTTTGCATTTAGGATTTTTATTTTTTTTTATTTTGTAGTTCTGAATGTGTGGTGGAAAGCAGCGTCTTTAGATATAAATCAATCATGTACATTATGGCTCGGAGGTAGATGCCAGATATTGCCAAGTGTTCGGGGAGTTTTGTCCTTGGCCGTACTACCGAAGGTGACAGATGTAACTTGGTTCAGGGATTGATGTATATTTTTGTCCGTCAGCCGATGAGTTTGCAGACATCAAAAACAAGCTCTCAAAGCTTCATTGAAAGTAAATTCTATATAAGATCCAAGTCTTTATAGATAAGTATGAAATTCCGAGGCAGAGTAATGTACTGTAGAAGTATTAACCCTTTGTGTATGGGGAAGGGGGGAGGCTCTGTGCTGAGTAAAGTTGTCTGATATTAGCCAAATATAATACTAAAAATTGACTTACCATAGTGAAGGGGTTAAAGCTTACTAAACTAAAAAAGCTTCAATATATAAATATTGTATTCATGCGGGTCTGTCATCTGTGGCGTCATATCTAGAGGGTCACTAAACACCTTGTATAAATTTGTCGTCAACCCACTGACACGACCTAACAAGATATTAGAAATGACCGTAAATAACACAAACCAGCATAGTGCATAAACTGGATACATGTATGTGGAGGAAGGAATCATTGTTTTAGCCATTAAAGAAAATTAGTGGCATTAAACAGTTTTATAGTGTTTGTCTTAATGTGCAGTAGTGTGGTCACTTACTGGTTAGGTTATAAGGGTATTGTAGGATTTTAGTACAGGGAAATACTGTATTGTGAATTTTGTTATACAGTATTGGGAATTAATGGCTTTGATGTGGGTCGACACTGTTGTAAAGTGTTAAACCCCTTGTGTACAGGTCCCCTATGAGCTGAATAAAATCCTCTGTTGTTAAGACTTTAAAGTTATTAAATGTTTTCTAACCAACCATTTTTTGTAAAAGAATCCTCCAAACATCACAGTTTAATATAGGTGATGTATAATTAAATGCTCTTGTGGGTTATCTGTTGTCTCCCCTGATGGTAATAATGCTCAGAATTTTCTTACATTAATAATTGAAACTGAAAGCTCAACATTGATTGAATCCAAGTCCAGTATGTCTTAATTAAGACCACATGATGGCTTGAGTGGGTGAACATCAAATGTGGTCTTAGGCGTCCAGTCAATGATGATACCAAGTACATTCACATGTTCAGGTAATGATGACAACTCATTCATCCATTCTTCCCAGATCTTTTATTTTTTTATTTATTTATTTTTTTGTGATGGGAAAGTAAAATATATATTTTTTTATTAATTCCAGTTGATAATGTTGGGGATCTTGGTTAATTAATCAACCGGTAGACTTGCATGGCTGAGAGTCACGTGCGCAGGTCTAGGCTCTGCTGTCTGATGGTATTTTAAGATCAATTCCTCATGGTGTTCCTCCTTCCAGATGGTAAGATTTCATATGCATATGCATATGTATTATCTGCTCAAAGTTATGGTTGAACCATTTTTTTCAGTGGAAAATAATAATTGAATGTTATGTGCATGTGTTATGTATGTTGTGTATATGTAGCAATCGCGGTGTAGTGAGTGTTCCACACATACGTTTCCTTGGGGTAAGATTGTACAGTCGCCCACAAAGGTCCTGTTGGTCCACGAACCCAAAGACTAAAGGCTTGTGAACCTGAAGCACTGAGGCATTATTCTGTCCATAAATGCTTCAAATTCACGAGTCTGAATCTTGGGGTTTGTGTTTCAAGAGGATAGGTGACAAGACTTCTGTCTGTACTATACACTTGGCCAGCTGTTACTTCTTATCCTTGTTTCCTGATAATACTGTATTCTGTTATTCTACAGTTTCTTTAAGGTTACTTGGTCCAATTCTGTGTTTTTTCTTAAGTACTATATGCTTCAACTTATTCACTTTGTCTCCTTTACTGTCATAATTAGACCAATTTTAGTATGGAAGAAAGAGACATTATGAACTACAGGTTTGTGATTGTTCTTCCTTGCACAAACTGATCTCTTGATGATGGGAAAGCTCTTGCCATCCTCATATTGAGGCTGTGAAGTTATCAAAGATGGTGTCTGTGCTGTGAGATACAGTATTTGTGCTGGAATATACCTTGGAAAGTGGTCAATATAATATTTTTGTGTACTGTGTGTCATTCTTATTAATTTTTACTTTCTGTTGAAAAATTAATTGAATCCAATGTGAATGTGATTTTATAATCAGTTAACTTTATGAGAAATTACCTATTATACTGCAAAATGTTTTTTTGGCACCTTCTTGTAAATATGTAATATATCTTGTAATAAAATTTCATGAGTAACTTTACCAATTTCATAATGTCTTTTAACAGAAAAAATACCCTTGTTTACTGTGGCAGCTCTTGACTTAAATACTGGTCAACGTCTGTGGAAGTTAGCTGTAGGGACTGCGGCCATCATCAGTGGAAGTTTCAATCTCCTATTGTTCCATATTTGTGCATTTGGTGGTCTTTCATCTGACATGGGGACTGAACCCAGGACAGTAGTAAAGAAGTAAGCATTCTATCTCACTACAGTACTGTACATAAGGATAATAGAAATACCATAAAAAGTAGTATTCATTTATTGTAAGTGTGTATGACAACTAGAAGTGCACAATACTGATTTTAATAGTTCTAACACTAAAACAGTGACATTGGTTTGTCTCGTGGAGGTACATTACGTACATGTTGCCTGCTGACATTGATCATCTGTACTGTACTGTTCTGCTGAGAGGTTAAGATGAACACAACAACTCGGGGACAATTTAGATATACAAATAGTGTTCATAATAGTATTGAGTAAACCAAAATATTAAACTTTTATCAATAGATTTTCCCTTTTAACTATTAACATCCAAAATCAACAATAAGATTAAGTTTAAAATTACATCCTTTATTTGTTGAAACTGAATTATAATTATATGAATGACCACCACACTTATAGCTTAACTCTTGCTATGATACTATTACAGTAGTACACATTTATGCCGTAACACTGATAAATGTGTCCCAGAGGTTACACAGCTACAACAGCCATGTGTTAGAGGAAACTACAGATAATTTTAGTCCTTTAGTCTACTCTTAGTACTACAGCAAAAGCTATTACTGTACATTCATTACACTACAGTTTATCCTACAGTGTGAGGGGGGGGGGAGGAGTCAGTTACCCAGGGATGGAGAATTACTATGATGCAATTTAGTATGTTACCATGGATACAATTTAGTGTGTTACCATGGATACAATTTAGTATGTTACCATGGATACAGTTTAGTGTGTTACCATGGATACAACAATGCAGTGCATTACCATGGATACAATTTAGTGTGTTACCATGGATACAATTTAGTGTGTTACCATGGATACAGTTTAGTGTGTTACCATGGATACAATTTATTATGTTACCATGGATACAGTTTAGTGTGTTACCATGGATACAACAGTGCAGTGCATTACCATGGATACATGTAACACACTGATCCAAATGTTAGGTGAGGTTGGAGATCCCCAAAAATTCCATTCCTCAGATAACTTGAACACTTGCAACCCACAAGATGTTCGTGGGAAAAAAATAATAAAACTGAGGCTCCATATTCCTGTTCCAAAATTGACAATCGAGTAGTTTCTGGATTAATTAGTTAACGACACATATAGCACTTAGGCAAGATACTTTTTCCATTACAAAGTTATTATCTTACAAAGGTACAGCAGCTTGAAATGACTTCCAAGGTTTGGCTCGGATGAAGAGGCGAAAGAAATCTACAGTACAGTATTCACATGTTGTCTAAATATTTGGGGATTAAACCGTCTTTGACCATTGTTTAACTTGTCATACACTGATCTGGTATAAATATTTTGTCTTAAACTGATCTGGTATAAATATTCTTTGTCTTACACTGATCTGGTATAAATATTCTTCTTTGTCTTACACTGATCTGGCATAAATAATGTTTATTCTGTCATCTTATACTGATCTGTCATAAATATTTAGTCTTATACTGATCTAGTATAAATATTCTCTCTTCTCTTATTCTGATCTGGCATAAATATTCTTTTGTCTTCCTCGTCATAAATATTCTCTCTGGTGTCATAAATATTCTCCCTGGCTGTAAGTTGATCTTGATATAAATAATCTCTTGACCTGCTCTGGATCTTTCCATTAAATCATTACTTCATATTATTATTTCTTACATATTAAATAAGCCATATTGAAAAATAACTAAGTATAAAATAGACTACTAAGATGAGATGTGATGATAAAATGCTATAAAATTGTACATTTGTGATGAAGGGTTTAAAATACATATGCTATGTTACCCTCTGTAATAATGGGTGCTTAAAAAAATTTAAACACACTGCCTCACACAGTATGGTGGAGATTGTATGAACGTTTATAGTACAACAATATTATTATCCTCATTTGTTGATGGGTAACATCTACCTGATGGTTGTGAGAGACCTTGCATACCAACAAGTGAGGATAATGTTGCTGGTTTAATGCAAACATTCACGTGATCTCCGCATAAATCTGTAAGGCAGTGTTTATAAATTTTCTGAGTCACCCCTCACTAGTGTATGTTGGCCATTGTGGTGGTGTATAAGCTGACCAATTTACGCAATTTTGACGACTGACTGATTCTAACAAAACTATGATAACTTTTTAAATCATCCTAAAGGTTTATAGATGTAATTCATTTAATTTTTTATTTTGAGGTTTAATATTGATAATAATGCCATTTTTGTCAAGTTCCAGAGATATGCAACAAAGTCTTGTTTTTATAAATACATTTCCCTCATTTACTGAAGTTTGCTGACAAGACATAATAACTGGCCATTTTTCTCAATTATTCTTTGGTAATAATGAATTCTAATGCTTATCGCAGAATACATCGAGCAAAGTTTATGTTGTGTGATGAAGCAACTGAACATTTATCTGACAACTTCAAAGCTCTTCTATGCTAATCTGCTCACAGGAAAGTTGAGTCACGTGGTGGGTGGTGTAGTACCAAGGAGAGAGACATAGCTGGCACATGCTGTCTTCATAACAGTCATATAGCTACACGAAAATCTTCTGTTTGTGACATTATTACAAACCCGTACATGTAGTATTGGTAACAACCTTGTTCCGGCAGCAACAAGAAATAAGTTAAATAAAAAAAATACAAGAGGAAATATGAAGTTCTAAAATCACAGTCTTTTTGTCGGCTCTCTTGCCATGTTTGTGTTACTCTTGGTGCTGTCCTCAATGCTGGCACAGGTTACTCAGCATGGTGACAGACTTAATAAATAACCCTGGCTTCAGGTAGTCTCTCTTTCATTTCTTGATGTAAGATCGACGGCGGTCAGGCTGGGTGGAGAGGGTGAAAGAATAAGTGTTAGCAGAGGTCACCCATAGATTCCTAAATGCTACACCCTAGATAGTGATACAACAAACATTATATTAAAAACTGTGTGTTATCATATTAACAAGTCAATAGATGTACAAATTGTGTTTACATAATTATTAACTGGTACAATATCACATGAACAAAACAAACTAAACTAATATGTAATAACTTCTCCATCCTCGTGTAGTTTCAAAGGATATTTTTCTATCTAATTTAGTTGGACTTAAAAGTTAAATACTAACACATTCAAGTCACTCGGCTATACTATTCTGAGACTTGTTATTTTGTAAGATAATTCAATGTAAAGTGAAAAACCAACACAATTTTTATACTCACAGGAAGAATGTTGAACCAGCAGGTGAGGTCCTCGCTGACTCCCATTACCGCCCCCGCGTTGTCAAACTCCCCACAGTAATTAGCAGCACTGAATAGCGTCACTAATGATCGTTTTTGAAAGAATTGGTAACCATCTTCAACAACCTACAAGAAAAGATTAAGAAATTAATACACATAAATGCTAACAATGCATTAAAATACCAATACAGTATAAATAAATGATACAATGATAAAATACAATATTGAAAAGAATTAATAAATGAATATCTCGTAGATCACAAACCTAATCAAACCTTAATACTTGCACAGGAGCTTATAGGCTCATACAAACAGTAATTAAATAAGTTAAAACCAAAACAGAACATGTGGCCTTGACTTACCTGATGAGCACGAACCACTAGGCTAAGATCGTGGTGTTCTAAAAAGGCTTTGAGAACATCACCCCCAAAGGTCCAAGACACACCTCGGTCATTAGGGGACCAACCTCGAACATCCTGTGACAAAATAGATACATATAGATAAGACAAACATTGAGAGAGAGATAGCAAATGGATATATGTATAACCTCTCGTCAATAAATGGAGTAACTTAATATTTCCGTATGTAGCTCTTCAAGATTTTTACTCACGGACACACGCACTCACAATACAGTATTTACTCACGAACTCACTTGTTTACGATATTTACTCAAACTCACTTATGATATTTACTCACAAACTCACTCATTTACAATATTTACGTACAAACTCAATAATTTCTCACAAACTCACTTATTTACACTACTATTTACTCATGAACTCACTCATATATGATAATTACTCACAAACTCACTCACTTCACCTACTCTAAAGGAATAAGTCATAATATACAGTATATCACAGTAAGCCTTCAGATAATCTCACCTCCTCGGGATCAGCCCACAAGATGTCGCAGATCAAGCCAGAGTCAGGAACATTAAGCGGTCTCTCTAATACTCTGAGCTGTGGGGGTAGATGGATAGATGCATGAATATATAGATGGATAAACAGATGCTTAAACAGATAAATCAAATTAATAATCATGGTACAACAGAGTGAGGTGGGACATAATCACAGTCGCTCACCTGTTCAAGATTGTGCAGGTCTGGTGAGAGGCCGCCATGCATACACAAGATGGTGCCTTCTATTAATGCAGCTGTGGGATAGAGAGATAGATTGATAGATGGATGGAGGGATGGATGGATATTCATTAAGTAAAATTGGCATACAGGTTCATATTGATTTAGCATGTATAAACAACATACACTTCCACCTAATATACTGTACAAATGATATAATGTATATAGACAATGTATTTATAGTTCACTGATAAATTGGTACTACGGTATACAGTTTTTGGTGAAGAGGTTAGTTGAAGCAGTATTTCAGAATCCTTAGTTGTATGGTACTCACCAAGTGGTAGACAGTTGAAGAGATCAGTAAAGGTTTTCCATAATTTAACGTTGTATCTTCTTTTGCATTCATCGTAAAAACCATATATCCTGTAATGATAAAAGTAATACGTTTTAATAAGAACAAGTACAAGGTAGAGTTTTTCATTTAGTGTGCGTCAATTACATAAATTTCATCAGACACAAATTATCATGTTTGTCAAGTATACTAATTGCTTATAATTTCAAGTTTAATTATACTAAGGACATAAATAAAAATATGTTTGCTAAATATTATAATTGTATTCAGGTAGTAATGAAAACTACATTTATAAAGTAATTCATATGATATTTGCATCTTTAAAATGTAATTGTTGATGGCTTGTGTAATTATTAATCTAGATACATGATTATAGGCCTTAGTTATAGAAGCTCAGTGATACATTATACCACCAATAGTATCACACCTTTATATAATTACCTGTTAATGGAAGCACACTCGTGGTTTCCTCTCAAGATGAAGAAATTATTTGGATATTTCACTTTGTACGCCAACACCAAGCAAATGGTCTCGAGGGATTGCTTTCCTCTGTTAAGGGGAGAGAGAAATATTTTTATAGTCATGTGCGATAATTACTGAACTTGATGTTGCTGTTTTGTCCCTTGATATAAGATGTAAGATGTCTTACTTATATACTGTACATAAGAACATAAGAAAATAAGGAGTCTGCAATAGGCCGGTTGGCCTGTGCATGGCAGCTCCTGTCGAGAGTTACTACCACTCTCTATCATCCATGAATCTATCTAGCCTCCTTTTAAAACTTTCCAGCATTCCAGCCCCTACTACAAAGTTGCTAAGCTTGTTCCACTCATCCACCACCCTATTTGTGAACCAGTTCCTTCCTATCTCCCTCCTGGAGACTTGATTAGCTGTACTCTATATGTAATTTCTGACTTCTGTTCTTCAACCTTCACCTAGCTTTAAGTAGTTCCATGTTATCTGTATTTTTTCTATCTTTTCCTTTTATTATTCTCTGTTTTCTTCCTCTTCAAAGTTATGGGTGAATATTACCATAACCTGGAGTGAATTACATGATGAGGACATTATTCTCCCTTACACTAATGATTGAACAAGGCTATGATGTGAAAATAAAAAAAATAAAAAAATGGTGCACCCAAAAAAACTTAACTCTTACATCCCCTCTTTCCTCTCAGGCAGCCAGCAGTGTAGTGTCGTAATATCCCTGTTCTACTTATTCCCTAGACACACGGTGCCTCTTGCACAAATATACTTCCTTGCATAAGTCCTCTCTGCTTGCCATTTCCCATTAGATTTCTTAATTTTATTGGATATTCATATATATAGGCGAAATTAATACATATATGTAACAAATATCTTTTCCAACCCTAATTGTTTCTTTTAAAATATTATACATTACTGTATCTGTACAATTGCAATTAAGTCATAATAAATAAAATTGCGTGTTATTTCACTAATTCTTTCACATATTTTTCTCCCTATCTTAATTAAAAGAGTCAATATCAATGTAAATTTTCCCATCAAGGTAGAATTTTACATAGTTATTAGTTGATGTAATTAACTAAATATACCTTGATATGTGACTTACCTGTCGACATAATCACCCAAGAAAAGGTAGTTCTGGTCTGGAGGGTAACCCAGCTTATCGAAGTGCCTCAGGAGGTCATTGAACTGACCGTGGATGTCGCCCACTATGTTGACTGGTGCCTCCAGCTCCACCAATGTCGGCTGTTCAAGCAGGACTTGACGTGCTGCTGACACTAGCGCTCTGATCTGACCCTCCTCCATGCGGATCTAGAATGAAGGAGGTTAAATATTATTATTATTATTATTATTATTATTATTATTATTATTATTATTATTATTATAATTATTATTACTGCTCTGCCTCACTCTGCCCTAGACTGTTGTGTGACCAGCCTCAGGAAGTTCTGTGATCACTATTAAACAACTCATTCCTCGAGATGCTCCTTGGACATAATAACTCTTACTGTAACTACAAGTGTGTATGTGTGTTGGTGGGTGCTACCCACAGGGTGATATGATGCGTCTAGTGTGGTAGCATTAAGTTAGTGTTAAGCTGTATGCTCTGCTTGCTACTCTTACGCTTTCAGCTACTGCCGCCGGCTAGCCCTTGTGGTGAAAGGGGAGAGCCGAGTGCATAAGTCTCTCCTCTGCTGGTATACAGCCTCTCTATCACCAAGACCCTTCAGTGCCTCCTCGCGGCAATGCACGGTAACTGGGTGTCTTGCGACCCCAGGCAAATTCTGTAAGGGATCTCGGAGCAGCAGTGGGCCCCAGAGGTACGGCGTGCAGGCCTGCTGGCATGCGGATACGCCCTGACGCCTACCAACCACTGCCCCTCCCCTCTCCCCCCCCCCCATTGCCTTGTGGGTTAGAGGAGCTCACCCTACACAAAGCAGCAGAGCTGTCTTGTCCAATGTACAATAGTCTGTGGGTCAAGGATTGGACTCCACAGCCACATCCTGTGGCACCACTGACAACATCCCTTGTTCACCACTCATCATCATCGATTTAATTTATTGTCAAGCAGAGTCGTTGTCGACTACTTAAGCATAAGTAAGTACTGTATGTATTTACCCTGTATATATGTGTATGTATGTATGAGTGTATGTATGTATGAGTGTATGAGTGTATGTATGTATATGTATGTATGTATGTATGTAAAACCTTTAATTTTATCTCATACATACTTTTGGTATGCAGTGCAGTATATGAATCATTTTACTATATTTTAAGTACAACGTTTTGATGTAGATTTCACACAATCTCCTATTACATTACAGGTAAGGGACTTGCTGTATTATGCTGCCTTCCAACTATTTCATTTATCATTTACGTGGTGTAGGTGACCAGCTGTGAAGAGACTAACCAGAGCATCACATTCTCAAGTCAAGTAAGATGTTCATGTTTTCCACCCTTGTTAATCTGAGCCATGATACAGGGTGTTGGAGCGAGTTTTGGACCTCAGGTAAGGGTGGGGTTGTATCCAGGACAAAGATTAATGGTAGATAATAGTTGGGTCGAGTCTGGTCTAGGGAGGTGAGAGAGAGGGTATACCCGTATATGTATTTGTGTGTGAGTGGTCCCAGGTCTCAGTAAGTGGTTCCAGGCTCCAGTAAATGGTCCCAAGTCCCATTAAGTGGTCCCAGATCTCGGTAAGTGATCCCAGGTCCCAGTGAGTGGTCTCAGGTCCCAGTGAATGGTCCCAGGTCCCAGTAAGTGGTACCAGGTCCAAATGAATGGTCCCAGGTCCCAGTGAGTGGTCTCAGGTCCCAGTGAGTGGTCTCAGTGAACTGAGACACTGGTACCCCAATGTTAACATGCATACACGGTCTGGGCTACAAAAGGCTGAAGGTCCCCAACTCCCTTGTTTGGTTTCGACCTTCGACCATCCTTAAGTCTCTGAATCCCAATTTCCGACAGATAAAAGTGGTCAAAGCAGCCATAGGGGTGACGGGTAGGGGGGGAGGAGAAGGGGCGGAGTGATAGGGATCAGGGAAGGGAGGGAGAAGGATCATGAGTAGAGAGAGAGAGGGGTGAGGAGGAGGAAAGGACAGAATGGTTTGGGGTAGGAAGGGTCAGGAGGAGGAGGAAGGGAGAAGAATCAGGAGGGAGAAGGGAAGGAAAGGGTAAGGTGGTGGAAGGAGGACCAGGGAGAGGAAGACGGGTCAATAGGATGGAAGGAGAAGGGTCAGGAATAGAAAAGGAGAAGAAGGGAGGGAGGGTGAGATGGATAGAGAAAGGAGGGCCCTGGGTCAGAAGAGTTGATGAAGGCAGGGGTGGAAGGTGGATGATGGATAGCTAACTTGAGGCGGAACACAACGAATGCATATAACTACCTTCTCCTCCTCTTCCTCCTCCTCCTCTTCCTCCTTCTTTTCCTCCTCCTACCCTTCCTCCTCCTCCTCCTCCTCTACGTGTACAAGAATGTCTATGTGTGATAATTAGTGGAAAAGTAACAGAGAAAATTGGGAAAGTTGGGGAGTGAGATCTCGAGCCAAAATCTATTGTTATTGTAAGAACTGAGACCAGACCCCACGAGATAAGAAACGACTCAGAAAAAGACTCTTGCTCGCTCACATACATACATACATACATACATACATACATACATACATACATACATACATACATACATACATACATACATACATACAGGTAACAGCAACGACAGGTAACCAGAACAAACACACACACCTAAGAAACCTTGAAAAAGAGTCTTGTGACGACAGCAGTACAGGTATTTGCGAGACAGACACGCCTCTAACACGTGGACACCAAGACACCCCATGCTTGTTTATCCTGGTTGAATAATAACTTAGAGAATTATGAATAAGTGTCATGGATGAATAATAACCGAGAGAATTATGAATAAGTGTCATGGATGAATAATAACCTAGAGAATTATGAATAAGTTATGTCATCGTTATCAGTGGTTGAGGTAGGTGATGTATAGTGTGTTTGTGTTATGTTATTGTTAAGGTGATAAGGTTATTTCAACTGAAGATTAATTACCCTAATGCTAACTTAACCTAACCCAATTCAACCTAACCTAACCCAACCTACTCTAACCTAACCTACTCTAACCTAACTTAATCCAACCTACTCTAACCTAACTTAACCCAACCTAATCTAACGCAACCCAACCTAATCTAACGTAACCCAACCTAATCTAACGCAACCTAACCCCATACCAACGCAGCAACCTAAGCCTAACGTAAACCCAACCTAACCTAACGCAACCCAACCTAATCTAACGTAACCCAACCTAATCTAACGTAACCCAACCTAAACTAACGTAACCCAACCTAATCTAACATAACCCAACCTAATCTAACGTAACCCAACCTAATCTAACGTAACCCAACCTAAACTAACGCAACCCAACCTAATCTAACGTAACCCAACCTAAACTAACGTAACCCAACCTAATCTAACATAACCCAACCTAATCTAACGTAACCCAACCTAAACTAACGTAACCCAACCTAATCTAACATAACCCAACCTAATCTAACGTAACCCAACCTAATCTAACGTAACCCAACCTAATCTAACGTAACCCAACCTAAACTATTGCTTAAAAGGACTCGCTGGCCTCTCCCATTCCCATTTCCCCCCTCACACACACGTCTCTCAGGGTATATATATAACACCTTTCAGTTTCACTCGTCTCTGCCTTCCCCCTGACCCTCATATCCTCAATTTTAACCCATTGATATCTCTCCCATTATCTATCGCCAATCATTATCTCCATATCCTTCATGGCGTCGCTAAAGTAATTCATTTTTATTATTCTGTTTTATTTATTGTATTTATCTTATTGTTTCACCTATTGTTAGTAAGCCTCCATTTGTTTTTGTATAAGGGTGTTTAGCGTTCTCCTCCTGTAGCGCCAGATTTCGAAGGACTTTTATTTTCTTCTGTTGTTATCTGCTTAATGCCCTAATGCTAACCTATCCTAACTAATCTAAACTAACTTATAACCTAACCTCACTTAACCTATCAATGGTTGTCCCTCGTGTAACGAGGATGGTCTGCCCTAGGGCCACCTATGCGTGAATTTGTTTAAAGTGTAGGATTTGTCACCAACACAACAACCACACCCTAATTAACGAGCTGAGTGACCCAGTGTCTAAGGAATAGTCCATGAAGACCGGACAACTCCCCAACTTCACTGGCTAACCTTTACCCCGGAATACGATCTGCAAATCGATTAACATCCAGGTGCCCAATTACTGCTGGGTAGACAGAGGCAAATGGCATAAAGAAACTTGCCCAGTTTCACCCTGCCCGGGGATCGAACCCGGGTCCGTTCGCTTGCGAGGCGATCCTGCTGGCCATTACACCACAGGTCCACCTAACCAACCTAACGTGACATAACCTAAACTAACCTACCCTATCCTAACTTAACCTAACCTAACGTGACCTAAATGTTGTAGTATAAATTCTCTGACGATACGAACGATGGGTGAATGATCTCTGGAAAACAACCCCAACGACCGTAATTTCTGAACAATCGGTATAATACAGTGCGCAGTAAGGGTGACGGTGGCTACTGCTGACGTATTACGTAACGTCGGCATTTGCCATTCACTGAGATCAAGGAGGATGTGGTGATTAGGTTTTTACCGCGTGTGTGTGTGCCCGCATCCCCTCACTCACTCACTGGCTGTGTGGCCCCACTTGGAGGTCTACCTTTTGCTCTTTTCCTTGCAGTTCCGCTCCCCCCTGAAGTCCTCTTCATCACTCTTACTGTGACTGTATATATTATGTACAAGCTTTGATCTACTCTGGCAGTCTCAGGTATAGCTCTTCTCGTCAGTTCATTCTGGCTGATATATGTAACGAAACAGACGTCTGAGGAGGATACAATGTTGATCTGTCCCCGAAGCGTCCGTGGGGAGGTGATCAGGGAGGAGGGAGGGGGTCGATTTAACTTATGTGGTCCTGAGAGAGAGAGAGGTGTGTGTGTGTGTGTGTGTGTGTGTGTGTGTGTGTGTGTGTGTGTGTGTGTGTGAGTGAGGGAGAGAGTTACGTCCACGACAAATAACAATACGGATATAAACAAGTAGGTCATTATTTTTATAACAAACGCATAAGAACTTCATACGACGGAAACCCGAAACAAACAAAAAGCGTATTATCAGTGAGGGTGTAGCGGCGTGCAGGTGCTGCTACACTGTGGAAAACTTCATATAATTTATAGCTATACCCTTCTCCTGCCTCGTGGGTGTAGGGAGGAAGCTGCTGTGTACCGGCACCTGGGA